GATGGAAAAAAATCAAGTCAATAAATACATTCAAATTAAGTAATAAAATGAGATAAGCAAAAATTTTCAACTTTAAATGAAACTGTTAATGTGCACACAACCTAGGTAAATTGTGAATGGAAAAAAATCAAGTCAATAAATACAATCAACAAATTAAGTAATCAAGAATTTGAAATACAAACATTTCACAACAATATTAATAAAGATCTCAATGCTTGACAGAGATTTGGAAAATCCTCGAGTTGTAGTAATGAAGAAAAAAAATGGTGTAAAACTTTTTAAAACTATTTTCTTAATTATGTGACTATGTTTATTGAAAATAAATGTTAGAAAAATGTTTTAAATTATTAGCACTATTACTTAAATTAATAGAAAGCTTTATACCAAAATTGCTTTTTTTATCATCCAAGAGTATTGTTAACTTAATAAATCATAAAATTTCTTTTAAATCAATATAAGATTTTGTCAATATAAGAAACACAATGTTTGATTTTAAAACAGCATGACTTTAAATTATGATGTGCGATTTCAAAATGGTGAGAATACAAATCGCAACCTGCGATTTCAAAATAGCGTATTTATGTAGCGTATTAATTCATGTATTTACAATTAGCTACAAATATTTTCAAAAGAGTAGAATTCTTAGGCTCACTGCATAGTTAGTTTTACTGTACTGTTCCCTAATATATATATATATATATATATAAAGTAACATAACATAAGTGCTTGTGATAAATGATTAATACGAACAAATAAACTAATGAAATGCAATTCTAAACTTAATTATAAATTAATAATGAACCTACTTTTTTAAAAGCTGTTAAAGGTAGAGCATTTATAGAAAACTGAGGCATACTTCCAAAACATTGAGATAATGTGATATAGCGAGACCAAGACAATTCCATTTTAGCAAGAAATTCTTGCCTATCCCCTTTGCATACCTGAAAATACAATGTTTTAATTTAACATGCATAGTTTAAATAACACAAATAGCATTCTTGGAATGGATAGGTATTATACAACATATTAAAAAACTAAGGAAACAGTAAAATATTTGCGCATCAAATCAAAAATCTAAAAATACACATACAAAATATTTTCAGGAGATGCATTCAATCATGCAAAAAAATAAACAAATAAAAATACATGATCTGCTTAAATTAAAAGAATCTGTTTAAAATTTTTGTTATTTCGTTAAAATCATTTTTCAATTATTTTTGTTAACTAATCATAACTGATAATAGTTGATCGCTGTTCTAAAAGGAATTTTAAAATTGTGTAAATATTTTTTTTCTTCAAAAAAATTCAATATGATTTCCAAAATTATTTCCTAAAAATTTTTTTTTGATTTCACTGACTAATTGAGAAATTTCAGATTAAATTCACTTCACCATTAGCAAAAGTATGACAACAGAATTATTAGTTTTAATTCTGCATGAGCAAAATAACAGATAAACTGTAAATTTAAAGGGAAAAATCTTAATGTTAAAGTAAAACACCTTAAGAAGCATCTTAATTTAAAGCTAGGGCTTATCTAAAGCTTAAATTAAAGCTTTATATCATCCTAATTCAGTCTTATTTTGCAGAATTTATCTATCATTTACAAAGCTACCATCTTTTAAATATTTCCGTATTATTTCACCACTGTTTTATAATGGTAAATAAGAAAGGCTGACATGATTTAAATTAATTGATCATAAATGATGATTTAGTCACAATTAAAATCAACTGATTCATATATATATATAAAAACAGGTTTCAGTAGAAAAATTCTAAATATCAAAATCTGATTTTTTCATTGGTATTGAAGATTTTTAATGATAAATATAGATTAAATTCTTAAAATAGATTAATAAATAAAAACAAAAAGTAATAAGGGAAGACGAGAATGCTGTGAAACTTTCAACAACATAACATATTTTATTATTTTTTTTATACAAAATAATTTACTGCTAAATAATCATACATATTCTAATTATATCAATTTAGTTATATGTTTATTTAAATTAAACATAAATACCTTTAGAACTTATTTAATACATAGTACATGCATAAATGGATGAAGAACACTGAAGAAATAAATGTTGAATAAAGAAAGACTTGTTCTGTGGAGGGCAATTTAGAATAATCATTTCTTATTTTAATTAATTAATTTATTATTTAAAATACTTGACTTTCTAAATTCATGAGGATGTTGACTGTGAAAAAACATAGCAATGTTTTCATTCAGTGAATAGTTTGTAATAATATAAATAGAATAGAAAATAGAGAGATTTCATGTATGGAACAATTTTCGAGGAGGAATTTGACAGAAGCGGCTAAGCACCCTACTTTTAATAATAAATTAAACCAGAAAAATACAGTAAAACCTCGCTACAACAATATTTTGGGGTCCAAATAAATATATTGTTGTAGAGGGATATATAATTATATCGAGGGCCAACACAATTAGGGGACACAGTAAGATTTCTTTTAAATTTTAATGTTATATATGTATTAACTATAAATCTATTTACATAGTACATATAAATATTTAATTAGCAGATTGCTAATTATGGTTAAATATGAAATCAGATAGGAATACTATATCTGTGACTCTTTAAGAGAGAAGGGAGGCAATTCTGAGAATGGAAGGTCTTGGGAGTGGTCTATGTACATCAAGGGTTGGGGTATTGATTGGGGGGAAGCATAATCAGCAGTGAGACTTCTCTCGTCAGAAAAGACAACAAAAAAAGGCAAAATATGATAAAATAAGATTTTTTACACATTTGAAAACCAATAATAAATGGAGAAAATAAGGTTGAAATTTGAAGAAAAAAAATTGTTTTACAGGAGTTTAATTGCTTCAGAGAATATCATAATATAGAGAGGCGGATAACATTAATTCATATGCAAGTTCGTCGGGACCACGAAACATTATTGTAATAGAGCGAGTAATTGTTATATTGAATATCGTAGTAGCGAGAGTTCACTGTAGTAAATTACAACATGATGGATTTTAAATTCTGATATTAAATTCTAACTGCATTGAACTTAATGTCACTTATTGTAATATATCATGTTAAATCTGTTGCTCCTTAAATGTATTCATAAGACTAAAGCTTGATTAAATTTAAACTAAAGTTTCCTGAATGAAAAAATTAAAAAAAAGATTTAAATGGAAACTCATTTAAAAATGCAACTGATTAAGAGAAAATGTTTACAAACGAGATAAATAAAAATTTCAATCATTTTGCATGTTATAACAGTATTACATAACCTATAAAGTTATTTTGTTGCTTCGAAAATTCGAATATATTTTTAAGGAATCTGAGAGATTATCCCAAAATTCAGAAATCACCCGATTTTTTCGGGAGAATAGGCAGCTATGTAATGATTTATCAATTTTAATAATGTTCATGAGAAATATTACGTATTATAATTATAATATTGTTTTTAGGTAATATTAACCCTCTTGGCGTCAATACTGAAAGGGGCTTGCCCGTGTATGCACGGGTTCACGTTCTAGCTCTGGAGCGGCGATCACGTCTTTTTCTGAACTAGAATATTTCCTTCCCCCTCAACCTCCTACTGCTCACAAATTGAGAGGCATATAAGCTGTCATCGTAAATCACTCACTGTTGTAATAGAATATTTCTGTTTGAATAGATGTGAATAGTTTGCGTTCTTTTTCATGTTCGAACCCCAATCAAACCAAAAGTTTACCTTTAAAAAACAGATTACATTTTTATTTTCTCCAACACTTTCGAAATATTGAATTTTTTTTAAAAAAAATTATTTATTGCTTAATTTATTATACTAAATCTTTCAATAAATAAAATAGTTTCGTACTTTTAAATTTCAATTAATTTTCGAAAAAGCATTTTTCATTTTAGAGTAAATTGCAGGAAATTATTTCTTGTCTAAATACAAATGCAATATTTAATGAACTAATTAATGAATTTTTAATACAGTAGGGAACCGATTATCCGGAACGATCGGGACCATCGCTATTCCGGATAACTGATTTTTCCGGTTTTCTGAATCGCTACAAAAAGCCGTTTTTTTTATTGTTAAAACCAACTTAAAAAAATAATATTTGGAAATAATCTTAAAAAGAAAAAACGAAGTAATACACTAATGAGTATTTCCAAAACGATAGTAAGGTAAACATCTTTCCAAAAAGAAAGAAAAATCCTAAAATCTTATGAGGAAAAAAAAATTTTTTTTTAAAAAAATGGCGGGAAAATTTATCGAATTTCGTTCCGGATTTTTGGTTTTCTGATTTCCGGATAACGGGTTCTGATAACAAACCATCAAGAAACTTCACAAACTCCAATTAACAAGTTATTCGTTAAAAAACATTAAAAGTTGTTATTAAAAGAACAATTAAAACTTAAACTTTTGATTGTAAATATCTCATACTGCAGGTGGGCGTCACCGGGTAGAAACGGGACATCGGAACGAAGTCTCGGACGCTGCACAACAACCTACTTGAAAGCAAACTGTCATCTTCTTAAGTACTGGACATCAGCCTTTTCACTCCATGCCTTGGCCGCCGGTTGATGCTCCTCCGCCGGTATTCATCCGCGCAGGAACTATTTCGGTTCGTCCTCCTACCTTCGGTCTTCGATCCAATACTCGATCCTTCTACCTTGGTTTTCATGCTACCTCAGCTGTCACAACCAACAGCCTCTACAGTAGCCCCCTACCAGCGCTAGCGAGACTTTTCCAGCTCATTGCTGATACTTTCCCTAAAACTTAACTCGACGGCCTGATCGTGTCTCAACCTCTTTTGGCTTGTCACCAGGCTCTGGGATAGTAGATTCCTCTGTAGATTCGCTCATAGCTGTTGATTCGCTTTTAGGGAATATGTCCTGTTCATCTCGGGATACATATGCTGGTTTTAGACGATCCACGTTTACCGTACTTTCCCAGCCATGAATAAGAATCCTAAAAACCTTCTCCCCTCGACTCAGCACTTGAAATGGACCCTCGTATGGTGGCTGCAGGCCTTTTTTCAGGACATTGGTCCTCTTGAAAACATGACTGCACGATGAAAGNTAAGAATCCTAAAAACCTTCTCCCCTCGACTCAGCACTTGAAATGGACCCTCGTATGGTGGCTGCAGGCCTTTTTTCAGGACATCGGTCCTCTTGAAAACATGACTGCACGATGAAAGGTCTTCACTAACAAAAACTGCTCTATGACCCTGGTGTCTGGACTTTACTGGCAGCAACTCCTGCATGGTGTCTTTTAGCTTTCCAACAAAGTTTGCGGGATCCGCTGCATCAGTAGTCGGACATAAAAATTCTCCAGGCAGTCGTATCGGAGTTCCATAAACCATTTCCGCTGTCGTAGCTTGCAAGTCCTCCTTCCATGAAGCTCTAAAGCCTAAAAGAATGGTAGGTAAAACTCTGGTCCACTGACTTGTACTGTAGGCTCTAATTGCTCCCATCATCTGTCTGTGAAATCTTTCCACTTGACCATTTCCGGCGGGATGACAAGCCGAACCCAGGAACTTTGTCAGGGCATCAAACAGTGAGGCTTCGAACTGTGTTCCCTGATCTGTTGTGATTCGTAGAGGTATTCCAAATCTAGCAATCTATCCAGCATAGAAAGTCTCAGCAACAGATTTGGCTGTTATATCTTCAGGCCACTTGGAAAAACGGTCGACACTAGTTAGACAGTAGCGAAAACCTTCTGATGGCGGCAACGGACCTATGATGTCGATGTGCACGCGTTCGAACCTGTAATTTGGTGGAACAAATGTACCAAGCTTGCTCTGCGTGTGACGTGTCACCTTAGAACGTTGGCAAGCCAAGTATTGCTGAGCCCATGTTCTAACATCCTTCTTTATACCAGGCCATACATATCGCTCTTCCACCAACCTTATAGTAACCTTAATACCTGGATGTGAAATGGAATGCAGTTTGGAAAAAACGTTATTTCTGTCCACTTTGGGTACGAATGGTCGAATCCGTTTGGTAGATACATCACAAAACAGCTCCACACCAGGATCACCTATTACGAATGGTTAAAGTACCAAACATGAGTTACCGGTTTGAGCTAAAATTTCGGCTAGTTCCTGGTCACCCTTTTGGTTGTTAGCCATTTCTTGAAAATTGACGTGGGAAGGTGTTTCTATCGTAGCAATGTTTACTCTGGACAGCGCATCTGCAACCACGTTATCTATTCCCTTCACGCGCTGAATATCCGTAGTGAATTGGCCAATAAAATCCAAATGACGCGATTGTCTTGGCGAACACTTATCTTCCTTTTGTTTAAAGGCATATATAAGCGGCTTGTGGTCAGTGTAGATAGTAAACGGCCGACCCTCTATCATATGACGAAAGTATTTGACTGTCATGTACGCAGCCAAGAGCTCTCTGTCGTAAGCACTATACTTTTCTTGAGATGGTGCAAGCTTCTTTGAATAAAAATCAAGTGGTTGCCACTCTTTCTCGATCCGCTGATGCAAAGCAGCGCCCATCACAGTATCTGAAGCGTCTACCACTATAGCCAACTGTGCATTCATGATAGGATGGTACAGCTTGGTTGAATTGGCCAATTCTTTCTTGCTCTTCTCAAACACAGCAACTGCTTCCTCCGACCACTTGATCACGCTTTTATCATTTTTCTTAGCACCTTTTAAATATTCGTTTAAAATTGCTTGAGTGTGGGCAGCTCTCGGTATGAATCTTCTATAAAAATTCAAGACTGCAAGAAATCGAAGCAGCTCTCTAATTGTAACTGGTTGAGGAAAATCAGCAATTGCAGAAACTTTATCAGGAAGCGGAGTAATACCCTTTTCCGTTACACAATGCTCTAGGAATTGTACTGAAGACTGTCCCAGGACACATTTGCTTACGTTGAATGTTACACCATATTGAGCAAAACGTTGAAAAACTCTTTTTAAATGCATTAAATGTTCTTCTTCGTTCTTCGAAGCTACTAATACGTCATCAAAATAAGGTACACAAAATTCAAACTCACCTAAGATTTGATGAATGAAGCGTTGGAAAGTTGCGGCAGCATTTGATACTACAAACGGCATATACAAAAACTCGAACAATCCAAACGGGGTTGTTACCGCAGTCTTTGGCACGTCTTCGCTGCGCACCGGAATCTGATAATACTCTTTTTCCAGGTCCAAGGCAGAAAATATCCTTTTACCTTCCAAAACCTGAAAACAGTCTTGCATGTGGGGAACAGGGAACCTATCCTGCACGGTCACTCCATTAAGACGACGAAAATCACCACACGGTCGCCAGTCACCATTCTTTTTTAGCACCATGTGTGACTTGCCCAACAGCTTTTGGAAGGCTGACAAACCCCTGATGCTACCAGAAATTCAAACTCTTGTTTTGCAGGTTTCAACTTCTCTGGCGATAAACATCGAGGTTTCGAAAAAACAGGAGGTCCTTTTGTCTGTATCCAATGTTCTACTCCATGCTTAACTTTTCTTGGCGTGACACCTGACCTAATCAGAGCAGGAAATTCTGAGAGCAAATTGTGGAATTTAGAGTTCTCTAAAATTAACTTTACCGTTGAAGCATTCCCAGCATACCGGGTACCTCTTGTTTGCAACTTGGTCAAAGGATCAATTACTGCAGCATTTTTGACGTCTACTAACAACCCAAAATTGCGTAAGAAGTCAGCTCCGATAATTGGATGAGGCACGGCAGCGATGATAAAAGGCCAGCTGAACTCTCTTCTGAGTTCGAGGTCTAATTTCAACAGGCGTTGGTCAAACGTTGGAATGGTTGTACCGTTTGAGGCGAACAATTTCATCTGTGAAGAATGGCCACTAGATGTATAGGCAGCACGAGGTATCACAGAGACGTCAGCTCCCGTATCAATGTAGACTTGTCCGTCAGATAAAGCCGCTGAATCATCGCTTCGCCGTCACCCTTTTGACTGGAGGACGGCCTCAGCAGTTTTCCGGTTGGAACGAACATGGAGGTCGGCATTTTGTCGCGCTTGAATATTTTATGATACCAGCAATACTGAGAATTTGCAGACTGTCGGCTTCGGCTAGTAGAGCGTTTCTGACTAGTATTTCTTGACCGGTCACTTGTACGGGCTTCCAACCATGAGAGATGAGCAGTGATCTCTGTCAATAAAGACAGTAAATCCGCCTGATCCACCGAACCAGCAACTACGCTGATTGACTGTGCGTTAGTTGATGTAGCCCTGATACCATCCGCCATCTCTGCCAGCTTGTCCAGGTTATCGTTGGAAATCGCAAAAATCTGCTGAACATTAGTAGGCAACCTCTGCAAAAATAAAGATTTAAGAAGTTCATCGTTAATTCTCGCGACGGCTTTATTCCGCATTTCCAGAAGCGGTCTTGAAGGACGGCGGTCGCTAAGTTGCATCCCCGAAATCAAATCCCTTAAGCGTTGAGCTTCAGATTCAGCATATTGAGCGCACAATCTTTTTTTAAGTGCGGTGAAAGGCTTATCCACAGGTGGACTGATAACAATGTCGCTGATAATCGCCAGTTCCTCCGGTTGTAGAGCAGCAACTACATGGTGGAATTTCGTTGATTCTGTACTTACTCCCGCAAGAGTGAACTGACTTTCAATTTGTCTGAACCACAATTCTGGATTAGCTCTCCAAAAAGGTGGCGGCTTTACAGTGACACGAGCAATTTGTTGATCAGCAGCTTCAGTAGATTCGGGCATTTTTCGCATTAATCCAAAATTTATAAGTCCAACAATAGAAGTAATTTGTACTCACGGCTTGCCAAAAAACTTTAAAACTTGAAACGTACCAGCATTTCCCCGTAATCCATCAACTAGTAGAATTTCTCAAAAGCAGTTTGCAGAAACAGAAATATACGTATTCGTTCACAGGTCACCAATTGTATAAGTTTCGGTTATGGGAATGTAAGACTTTCAAATGAAACAATATGGCAATGAAACATCCTCTTTACTAGTAAAAGATAACAAACCATCAAGAAACTGCACAAACTCCAATTAACAAGTTATTCGTTAAAAAACATTAAACATTTAGAACAGCAGGGATTAGCAAAAGCTTTTTTTTACTTAATTTCAAAGAAAAAGATAAATAAAACGGGAATTAAATAAATAATATCTATTAAACAGCAGTTATTTTTCTGATCGAACATTATTGAAAAAATACTCATTAATTATTTTTTTAAATTTAAAAATATCATTAATATACTTAAAAGATAAATATGACTTTTTACTGGCATGTATATCAACGAAATTGTACTTTGAATTCAGAAATGAGGCAATTTAAAATGCAGACGCATTTTTTAAAATAAAAAAATTAGACGGTAGCCGCAAATGTATCTGGGAAATAAAAGAAATCACAGGAAACAGGAAGGAAAAATTATCAATCACAAGAATCTATTCAGCTCCATTTCATTGAACATTCCTTTGATGTTATATTTCAACTATATCATTGTGAAAAAGCTAAGGAAAAGAAAGAATGTATCATAACCTGAAAGTAATTATCTTATCAGAAAGAAAGAATTGCTTGATATTCTAGAGAAAAGTGTAAGATTGTATGAAGTTCAACGACTTTCAGAAAAATGAATCACGAAGCACAATTCATCCATCAAACTGTCTTGACCCCCCTTGACCGATAATCACCCCTTTTAACCACAAATTGAAGCAGAAGGGGGAAAGCATATCTTTTGTCCGACCCTCGACACTTTTGGTAGCATCTTTCTAAAATGTGTCTGCCGCTTGAAGTAAGAAACTAAGAGAGAAGGAAAACGCCAAGAGAGTTAAGAGCAACGCTAATGCAACTATCAGTGCTTCGATTAGCAAATGTAGAAAAAATTAGATTTAAAAAAAATAATTAAATTAAACTGAAAAAAAAAAAAAGATTTTTTTTTTGTACATGAGTTTTGCTATTGCTGTAAATAAGGACAGACGAGTGTGGGTTTAAGTTAAATATATGTTTGATCCTTTGTACTGGAAGGAAAGATATGCCACAATTCTACAAGATCGACGACAGTGTTTTGTACACATAAACAAAACAATCTTCATGACAGAAAAAATAAAAAAGACTTCCTTGTTTCATATTACAGAAATAAAAAAGAATCTTCCAATTTTTATAAGACACTATACGCTTAATGTCTCACAGTCACATTCTTTGGCAAGTACAGTTATGAACTTCTTGCCAGAGCAATTGGTTAAAATAAATTTTTTACACAGAATATCTTGATTATAACTACACTGTAAGCCATATCTGTAATTTTACAAAACAATGTACATTTTACAAACTATTTTAAACAAACCATTCAAAACAAGCGCATTAGATAAAAATGATTAGTCATTGGAACTGTGAAATAATTATTTGAATTCACTTACATTGCTGATACTGCCATGGTAGAAACAAAATATTCCACATAAAAACAGCATTTGACTTTGAAGAGCACTTGACTCAATGTCAGAATCTGCTCCAAGAGCCTAAAACAATAAAAATGAATTTTTTTTAAATAAATATAAAGTTTATCAAGCACAGAATCATATTTCAGAAATTGAAAAGACATATTGTTTATCTACAGCAAGAACACCCCCTGCCACAATGTCTGAGGCTGTCCACTGCTATGGTAACAAGAACAGCGCATTTCAGAGAGGGTACCTACTCTTCACTCTAGGGCTAACACAGTAGACGGAAGAGAAAGATTTCCTTTCTTTCACTGACCCGAACCCAAACCTGTCCCAAAAAAATGACCCGCACCCTTAATTGAAATAGTTAAACGTTACCATAGCCATGGGTCCAGGCGAATGGCTAGGCAGGGGTCTGTCTAGGTTTTCCGAGAGGTACCTATTTTGTGAAAATTTAGACATAATTTGTAAAAATTAAAAATTATATTAAAAAATCAACACAAAAATTTGGATTTATCGCTTCCTACAGGATACAAAAATAAAATTTTAAGAAAAAGTATTTTGGGAAACTACCGTTTTTCCGTATTTGTGAAGGTACCACTAAACGGTAGTAAATTTGACCTGGACAGACCCCTGCTTACTTTAGACAAACTATAGAGTTTTTTTTAAAAATTAAATATAACATTTATAATTTTTGCTGAAAAAAATTAGATGAAAAGCAGATTAAAAACATTAAAATTACTAAAAAATTTTTACATTTTATCAGACATTTACACACATAACAGGATTTTAAGATTCCCATAAATGTTTTTCTTTTGCATTCTTTATGTGGGGATGGTTAGAATAGTTTTAAATTAAAATTTTCAAACCTAGAGTATTATATTAAATCATAAAATTGGCTACCACTTCAAAATATTGCTTATAAAAAAACTGTGAAGTTGGCAGATATGGTATAAGAAAAAAACTAAAAAACATTAATTTTAAACTTTTGTTTAAATAAAAAAGTCATAGTTATAAAGTGGATATTTTCAATATCTAAAAAAAAATATTTTTAGAATATACAGAGAAGTAAAAGCCAATGGCATGTAAAAGTGTTTGCATGCCCTAAAACACATTATCCACAGTTTATTTTCCTTTTATGCAATGTAAATATAAAGTTTTCTAAACTAAAAAAAAATTTATTATTTATAACAAAATACTGTTGCTGTACATAAGTAAGACATGTTTAATAAATTTGACCTCTGATAGGTTAATGAAAATTCTGACAAAAAATGAAACAGTATTTCGTAATTTTGTATTTCTGTATTATTCACTGAAATATGAGAGTAGAGAATAAAAGTTATAAAATAAAAATTACACAATAAAATTACAAAAATAAATCGAATTACCAATAACTATTTGATTTGCAGATGGTTGGACATCTTTTTGAAAAGAACCATATTAATAGGTTATATAATATTCTTTACAATGATTTATAACTATACACCATTGAGAACACAACTCCATATAATTCACTCAAATCAAAAGTATAGAATAAAAACATGTCAAATAAATTACCAATAAATATTTTCCAGACCAGAGAAGAGCAAATTTTCCTTGATCTAAACTGACAATGTGCGGCGTTGAAAACGTGCTTCGTAAGAACTTAGCCATTCCCACAATTTGACAGCAAAGTAGATACCACTCACTTTCAGCTGACTGCAAATAAATCCATTGCAAATATATAAACACATAACAAGCTTAGTAACTAAATTTTGTATCATAAGATATTCAATAAATAAAAAACTAAGCAATTTTTTTACAAAATATCTAAAATATTAAAAGGCAAGTATTAGAAATATTAGAGGGAAAAAGCCTGGAGCTAATAAACCTAATAAGTTGGCAGTTTAGTCTTCTCTGCCAACTTATTAGGTTTCAATTAATAAATTTAAGTTTAAGGACAAAAAATTTCATACCAAGCTTTACTGACAAAATTTGAATACACTCTAAAAATATATGACATTTATTAACTTCCAGATCAGTTGCAACCCCTGGAAAAGTCTTTTGATTTGCTTTTTTTTGCCAAAAAATGTATTTTCTGCCATAAGATCAAGTTTACTACGAATAATTCAAGAAAATTTTTTATATTGAGATAAACTTCAATATAAACTGGCCTAAATGAAAAACCTTTGATCGGTTCATCATTTTGCCTAGTAATTGAGACAAGATGATTTCAAACACACAACCGCAATTGGAGAACCAGTATTTTATCTTGATAGAATAATGGCTACGCCTTTCAATATAAACAGAAATCCGGTCAAAATCTAACAGCAGAAGATCTATAAAATGAAATTCTATAAACTGCAATCTCCATAAACCAGATTAACTTCTTAATCTCTAAAGCAAACCAAAATTGATAAATTTGTCGGATTTCATTTCAGCATTTTCTGGCTATTGAGCTAAAAATTGGAAAGTTAAAAAAATGTAGTCCTCCGCCAACTTTGTAAAAGTTTTTTTAAACACATAGAAATTTTATAAAATGAATAAAAAATTTGAACAAAAAAAATAGTAGAACTTCCTTGTGCCTGACTAACTGAAATATACTTTATTTTCTAATACTCCTTATGATTTAAATTTTTATCTGTAAACAATAAATTTTATGTGCATATTTCGGTGCACTAAAAATTCCTTGCTTATTGGCAAGAAGAACATTTAAAAAGAATTACTACCCATGATTACATGGATATAACGTCCATGTAAATCATGGGTAGCTAGAGTCAAAAAGGTTAGTTTTATATATGATAAAGAGGAAAAATCTCACTAGCAGGTACATATGATATAAGTCCTAAAGGGGTAAAATGTAGAAATATATGTTAATACATAATAATTTAATATACGAATGGATGGCATTTTATGTTTTGAAGGATATGAAATAAATAACTTCCACGAAATATTCTATTCACCTGAGTGGGATAAAAATAAATAATGGCTTCTTTCGGATCATCTTCATCAGCTTTGCAATGAGTAAGGTCGTAAATGAAAAATAAATTCATCTTATAAAAGCTGCATAACTTTTAACAAACGTTTATTTACATCCTTTTAGACTGCAGTTCAATGTTACGCTACTACTAGTCTTCATTACATAATATTTTATAAAATATTATGCAACTTTATTAAAATACAAATAACTAAAACAGAACATTAAAAAACTTAAGTATGCTAATTATTTAATTGAGGATGAAAACTTATGTAGTAACTATTTCATTTACGATATTTTAAACATTTAATTTGCTCCAGTTTCCACGCTTTCACGTTTTAAATCACCCACAACCAAAAACAAAAACTTTGACATGTGACGGGTGATGGGAAATATGTCATGTGTTTTAAATAATATTAACTGTGACTTTAACGTAGTGTTTAATTTTTTTTCAATGTAAGCTATAAGCTAATATTTTTGTTTCAAGAAAACACATTAAATTCACTATCCCTGAAGGAAATGGAGAAGCGATAAATGTATTTCTCTACTATCGATGAGTTTATTATTCAAAAGTCTTCCTTGATCAAGTGATATACACTCAAGTATGACTTCTAAGCCAAAGGCGTCGAGTCGGCTGGAATATGAAATTTCGAAAAATAGGGATGAAGCAAACTGGAGAAAAGTAACAGAATTAGCTGAACAGTTAAATCAAAGAAGTTCTGGTTTGGGTATGTTATTTAGATTTATTTAATTCGATTTTTTTTTATTACTGAGAATTTCATATTATATGTTTTTCCTCCTCAAATTGTCTCTCTGTCTGGGATTGTTATTATTTACTTTATAATTTGTTGTTACTATATAAGTTACTGATTATATTTTATTGAAATCCATTTAATCTCTATCAGTATTTCTGATTATTTATTTAAGTCCATGCATTTTGATTTAAATACAAATTACTGATTAGTTATCCTCATATTCAAAAAATCTATATAATCTGTTTCAGCAGTTTAGATTATCAAGTTCATAATTTTTAACTTTTATATACCAATTACGGATCACTCCCTTACTGTCGTCCATATTTTCTGAATTTGCTTAAAATTTGTAATTTGCTAAAAGCATTTAAATTTCTGTTTATCCACATACTGAAATGCATACATTCTGCATCATTAGTTCAGATTTTAAATTTATAATTTGCTATGAGTATACAAATTAAAACTTACCTTCCTTACCAAACTAATACTTATACTCCTACTGCAACTCATTTTAGTCTCTAATAGCTGTTCAGATTAAATTTAAAATTCTTCTTAGCATATCCATTACTGTTAATCCTCATACGGAAATCCATTTTTGTCCTTATTAGAAGTTATATTTTGTTATTGATTAATATCTGTTTCTTCTACTTAAAATTTTCTTAGTAATAAGAACTCCACATTACCAGTTCAAGCCCATCTAAAAATTAATAATTTTCAATGAAAATTAATTATTTTATTTGTTTATGTGAAAATTAATGTTTGTGTGTTAGCATTGTTTCTTTCCCTTTTAACAGATAATTACACATTGTGTAATAAATTCAAATTATCATCAAAAGGTCTTTATACTGTAGTTTTCAATAAAAAATATGATTCCATTTTTAAAGCTAATGCAGTTAAGTTATTTAATTATTATTTACTTACTTTTGTTTACAAATAATTGTGTTGTGTTAAGACCAAATAAAGTCTAATTTTCTTTTTATTTATCCGTCATTTACCATTGAACATTTACGTTTCATATTTAAGTTGCTGCTTAATTTTACTTTATATGTCATTAATGAAAAATGAACATATACTTTTAACGTATTATTGATTGGGGGGGGGGGAGGCTACCAACAAAGTGAACCATCATTTATCAAAAGGTGCCTCAGAATACAATCGAGTTAACATGTCTTATATACTAGCAAATTAAAATTTGTAGTGTTAGCTATGCTATAATATACCACCACTAGAATTTTATCTGTGATAGAATTTGATGAATGGATACCACTAGTTGATTCTTTGCTGTTTTGCGAGAAGCTGGAAAGAACTTTGAGTGGTGATCATGATGAGAGTTGTATTAAGATCACAATTGTGGGCATAGGCACTCCTGTGCTGCAATTAGCAGTCAACTATGTTTAGGCCTCTGTTGTGTGTGATTGAGACAGAGTAGCAACAGCACGAGGGGGCAATGTAGCAGTCACAAATAGCAAGTCAACTGTGTGCTGTGGTCCATCCATCAATCTGCACATATTTGTTACCAATTGTGGGGTAAGCTACCAACAATGTTAACCATCATCCATTAAAAGGTGCCTACAGTTAGAATGGAGTTAATGTGTCTTATGAATAATTAGTGAATTGGAATTGAATAATTGTAGTCTACGTTACAAGATATTAATTATATATATGTGTACAGTGGGAAAAAATAGACCACCCTGAATGACTTTTGATCTAATGACCGAATCTTCTTGTTCTGTTACTCAATCTTGATGGTTCAAAGGGGTGACCTCAAATATGCTCAGGGGCGGATCCAGAAATTTTTCCTTGGGTTGGGAAGTCATTGACTCAAATCCCCTCCACCCACAATTAATTTTTTCTATAAAAAAAATTTAATTTAATATTTTTTTTGAAAAAAAAAATTGGGGTTTTTATGCATCATTTATATCATTTATATTTAATGCATCATTATCATTAATGCATCATTTATTTTTTTCATAATGAACAATACATAAATAATTCAAGTATTAATAATTTAAGCATGGTGCTAGATTTTAGTTACGAGTTTCGCAAGTTTCCCATCTTCACCTTTATACAATTTTTGATTAAACCTGTTGAAATGCGATTGAAGCGCTCGGCGCGCTCTAAAAATATAAATGTTTACAATGAAACTATGACGAATTTCGCTTTAATCATTTGGATTATGATTCTTAAAACAGTGAAGAACATAATTAGGTAATAAAAAAATCAATTTTTCTGATCTACCTAGGTGTGTATATGCCCCCTTAAATAATTTTTAAAATCTTTTATTTCTTTTGTAAACTATTAAAAAAAAATTTTTTTTCTTCCAATTTTGGGGGGATCATGACCCCCCACTGAATATGCTAATTAGTTATTGCAAATGGTATTTTAAGTTACAGATTCAGGCTCAAAACCACACTCGCTGTGAATTGACATACCTTTTTACTGACGGATTTATATTTTCGACCCCCAAAATAGAGGGAGTAGCTACTGTCAGGAAAATATGGTCTTATGTTAATTATACTTTTTGATTATTTTCACATTCCTTGAAAACTTTTGAATTGAATTGAAATATTTTTGCACACAGATATAAAATTCGTTTCTCTAAAGATAAATCCATGCAAAAAATAACTTTTAGTAAATGTTTAAGTCTTTTTTATAATAATTGAAATATGCACATATTTAATAATGGTTAAAAAATTTGCATTGTAAGGTCTAAATACATAAAATATAGATAGTAGACCTAGTTGAAAATGTTCTCATAATGAAGATAACTTTTAATGCTATTGCTGTTAAATGCATGTTTTTATTAAATTCAAGTTGAAATTTAACTAAGGTTTATATGGATTTTTAAATTTGGATGCAATTTTAAGGCCAAAATTTTATAATGGCAAAATTAATAGGAGGAAAAATATATAGAAATTTACCAGTCATAAAAGATTTTTATTTGTAGTGACAAATTTGAAAACATTTTCTTACTTTACCTTATTTTTGTGTTGATTTTTTAATAAAATTTTTGATTTTAACAAATTATAGCTAAATTTTCACAAAATAGGTACCTCTCAAAAAAAACCTAGGCAGACCTCTGATTGTATTTTTCAATCCTATAATTTATGGCACTTTTCTTATTGTCTTAGAATTATATTATTTTTATAGCAAGTGCTTGTTGATTTCATTAATGTACAGTGTTTTCACTACAGCGCGAGAATCTCACATATTTTTTTCTTTCCTCGCATTAAAATATTATTAAGGTGAGAAGCTCGCGCACCCTATTAATGAATTTCAAAATGCGTGGATCTCGCCAATTTCGGAAAAAATTTCGTCTTCTGACATTTCAAATTAAATCCGCTTCATTTTTCTTCCTTGATCTTTCATTATTTTCAATATCGGTCCTTGTTATCTAGCTTCNATTGTTCAGAACCGGTGCGAACAGCCCCCCCCCGAACCCCTTTCAGAACACATTTTTCTGCAACTGCGTGTTCACCGTAGGTAAGGTTTCTTCATGTAAAACGTTACATTTTTTTTTTGCCTGAATGTAAGATTGACAAATACATTGTTAAGACAAATGAAACAAATGTAGAAACGGTAAAAACGAAACAAATACGGATATTCAACGGATATGGATCAAATACTAGCATGAAGTATGAATTTGGAAGGAACTTCAACGTACTTATAGCAGAAATAATTTAAAAACCTATGCTGGCTGATGTAGAGGATAGGAAAGTGTGTGCACAATGCTACAAATTTACTTAGTGTTTTAGAATAATTCAACATCTGTTGCAAGGTCATTTAGCACCCACAACCGGATTAAGACAAAATATTGTAACAGATTGGCTGATAAGCATTTGAGCAACCTAATGAGAATAGCTGATAAAAACGAAGATATAGAACATTTTCCATATGATGATGCAGCAAAAATATTTTATGCTTTAAAAATTAGAAGATGTTGAAAATGTATTATAATTAAAGAAATATTTTTTCAAATCTATTTGTGTTTTTTCTTTTTTCTTTTTTTTTTTTTTTTTTTTTTTTTTTTTTTTTTTTTTTTNATTAATTTTTTGAAATCTCACCCTGTTTTTGAGAAAGGGTGAGAAACTCTCACCCATTTTTTTTTCTGTAATGAAAACGCTGATGTAAATGTTTAAAGCCATAATTTTGCTCCCTTGAGGCATTCTTTTCTATTACAAGTACTTATAAATTATCCTGCTAATGATTAATAATCTCCAAATAGCTTCCATCCAGCTTTATTTGTTAGTATGATTAACACATTAAAACACAAGTACCTTTTTTAAAAAAATGTTGTTTTTTTTTTCAAATTAACATTTCACATTTTTATTGCAAAGATAAATGACGTGAGAAGAGAAATTATTAAAATAAGATTATTTTTAAAAAATATTTAAAAGGAAATTTATTTATCATTTTAAAAAAAAACTTATCCTGATGTGTAATAAGTTGTTTTTTTTTCATTAATTATTTTTTTTATTCATTTACTTAAAAAAAGATAAATAAAAACTTTTTTGAATATTTTTAAAAGTAATTTTATTTTAATAATTTTTCTTCTTCTCTTGTCATTAATCTTTATTATTTTCCTGATTTCCTCAATATTTTAATATATTAGAAACAAAATCATTATTACAGAACTTTAAATACAAAGAGTGGCCAGTAGAAAGTAAAAAAAATAAAAGTCAGCAATAAATTTACCTCTAGTGACCAGTGGTCACCAGATAAATTTCCCAGTCTTGCCCTTTACTTTGTATTATATTTGTTTATTGATTTTTAAAAAAATATTCAGTTTTCATTTAAATGAAAAAAAATATTGCTCTAATTCTTTAAATATTTTTATATACTTTTATTTATTAAAATAATAATGTTCATAATTTTTAATGCATTGATATCAATTAAATAAAGATTTTAATATCATTTAAAGAAATTAAAAAAGAGAATGCTGGTCTAAATTCCTTGTAGCATCCTTTATTTTTGTTTAATTGCTGAACCATTTTCATCTGTTGGCATTTTGACAAGGTGAATAGTTATTTCTTTTCTACTGAGCAACCTCAACCTTTCTCTTCAAACTTCACTCTTTCTTAAATCATGACTGCTCATAAAAATGAGAAACTTTTTCCTGGTTGGTATTCATCAAAATATATTTGCTTATTCCTTAGTTTGATTTTTGTTTTAGGCAGAAAAATGTTTTTCTGTTAGGTGTACTTCTAGTATAATTAATAGCTTTATTTTGTTTATTTATTACTTGCAAAAGTTTTTTAATAAAATGAATTGAATTTAAAGTATAATCAATTTTTAATTAATATAAGGTATATCTTTATTTTTATGTATTTATTTGTATAGAAACTTATTTTTCATCTGAGTATTTATTTTACTCATCAATGCAATATATATTTTTTTATTTATTTACAAGAATAGCTATTGTATAGAATGAAATATTTTTATTTATTTAAATTTTTTCTTCTTCTTGAGTTAACCTTTGCCTCCTGCTATTATCTTGTATTTTTTTAATGGCCTTATAGTCTATTTATTTGAAATCATATCTTCTATTTCATGAGTATAATTATAGATTTGTAGTAAAGAATCTTATAAAATTTTCAAGCAAAGAGACTAATTATTCTACATGAGTGATTAGTGAACTAATTAATGATTAGTGAACAATGAACTGAATTTAAAATATAATCAATTTTTAATAAAATATGCTTTATCTTTATTTTTATGTATTTTTCATTTATTTGTATAAAAACTTATTTTTCACCTGAGTATTCATTTTACTTATCAATTTATATGATTTTCATATATTTTTTTACATATATGTAATATATTTTTTTTTAATTTTCAAGAATAGTTACTGTATGATTAAGAATAAAATATTTTTATTTATTAAAAAATTTTTTCTCAAATTAAGGTTTACCTCCTGGTATTATCTTGCAATTTTTTATGGCCTTATAGTCTATTTATTTGAAGTCATTTCTTCGATTTCATGATAAATATAGATTGGTAGTAAAGAATCTTATAAAATTTTCAAACAAACAGCCTAATTATTCTACATGAGTGATTAGTGAACAATAAACTAAATTTAAAATATAATAAATTTTTAATTAATCTATGCTATTTCTTTATTTTTATCTGTTTTTCATTTATTTGTATAAAAACTTATTTTTCACCTGAGTATTCATTTTACTCATCAATTTATATAATTTTCATATATTTTTTTTATATACCTATATCAGGGCTCGAAAAACAGCCCGTCCGCCCGTCCTCGACGGTCAAAAATTCTCCGCGGACAACGAATGGAAGCTGGTGATATTCTAGAGTAGCAGTTTCAAATTTCCCCCCGCTATGGAATCCTAAATGATTGATCCTCTTTCAGCAGAACTCCGACTTTATGAATGAAGTATATAAAAGCATTTGTGAGCGTATTAACTAATAAAAGACTTATTTATACTAATAAGGGAATAACTAATTTTATTATTGTTTTTTATTAATAATCTTAAATTAGATTTTATATCTAGCTGTTTAATTTGCATTCCTGGAGCTATTTCTAGTTTAGTTCATAATTTGTTTTTTGGCGTTCATATAAATAAGCTGAAAATGACAAAAAAAAATCCAAATATAGTATCAGTTGTAATATGGGCTAAAAAAGCTACTATAAAGGTTAAAGATGGTTGCTAGGAAAACGTATTTCAATACTAACGAATTATGTTACTTTATTTTGATTGAAGTATCATAATAATGTAGTTTTTTGTAAATGCAGGTTATTTTCAGAACTTATTCAAGATATTTTTATTAGAAAGAAAAGAAACCTTTTCTTTGAAAAGGGTTATTTCTACTTCTTTTTCATTGGCATTTTACTTAAAATAATTTCATTAAGGTATTCAGAATATTTAATAAATAATAGATTATTAATTTGATCTAAATATAATTGAGGTTTAAAAAATCATGACTATAAAGTTTAAAAAAAATTCTGATTCTCGGAACCTCTTCTAACCCTACAAGGAATCTTAGAGTTTCATGGAACACCATTAAGGAGCTGCTGTTCAGAGGATTGTAAATAGATTTTAAAAAAATCATTAACAATTTCGTATAAATTTATCTATAATTTGGCACCAAGAAAATTAAAATAAAAACTATAGAAATCAGTTAAGAGTAATTGTTTTTGCCCTTTCTTTTATAACTGTTCTTATTCTTTATAACAATTCTTATTTAAAATGGGTTAAATGTGTTTGTTTGTCTCAGACTTTGTTTTATTCTTAGATGTCCTTGTGAATTTTCTCATTGGGGAATCCAAGCTAGAGCAGTTTTTGGAAGAAAATCTTCCAATTGAAAGTAATATTTCGAAAGCAAAAACAGGATTGACAGAGGCAAAACGTTATCTACAGACATGTATTAGCGAACAAGGTGCAAAGGTAGTTATTATTTTGCTCTTGTTCTAGTCATTTTGTTGGGAAGTGTTGAACAATTTTATCAATTTGGATGATTTCTCAAATTTTTCAAGCGGACTTTATGCAGGGTGCATAGAGTTTATGAAAAGTGCATAAAAGCTCTTTATTTTCTTATCTTAAAATTTTTTTAAATTTTCAAATTAAACTTTTTTAATTAGTTATCATATGTAATTCTCCACACAATTAAATGAATTTTTTTTAGAAATTATTTACGCTCTTTCACATTATAAAAGTATTACTTTAAATGTTCATTTCTACTTTAAATGTAAATTAGTTTTTTTTTATATATAAATATCCATATCTCTATAAATATTTAAGCTAAGCTTACGAAATTCTATGCAATTGTACCTAAAGTTAATTGAGACAAGTTGCAAATTTTTTACTATGTTTTCTGACATTAGATATCCAAAAATACTTTTTTCGCTGGTGATTTATTGTTGATATGTATGAGATATTGCATGACCTAAACACCTTTAAAGTTAGAAAACTCTCTTACTCCTTTTTTGAAAAATTTAAAGAACTGTCAAATACTTTTATTATCAATTATTTTAGGGTATGAAAAACTTTAAACAATGGGGAAAAAATGTATAAGTGTACATGCCTTAATTAAAATTTTTTTTATATATAAAAAAGTGCTTGAAATGATTTTTCAGTACTTTTTTTTGTCAAAAAATTTAGCTATGTACCATGTTTATGGATAATAGTATTTTTTTTTTTTTTTTTNTATTTTTTTTTGCTGCTTATGATGAAAGGTTATGTAATAATCATGAAAGTTAATTTTGTAAATGTATATTAAGTAAATGTAAATATTTATATGAAATAAAGATTTTATTATGTGCCATATAAAATTAACAATATTTACTTAAAATTATTAGGATATTATTGAAGGTCTTGGTGTTACTTTTCAATTTAATATTCATTTTTTCATCAACATCATATCTAGTTTAGAAAGCCTATCATTAACTCTGTTTTCTGAAACATAAGCACTTCTTCAGTATTGAGTGCTTGTCTAAATATGTTAAAAATTGCAGGGGATATTTGATTGAGTTGGGGTACTTGTTCTGTCTAATATGTACTCTTTTTTTTATTACATATTCTTAAAAATAAGTTTCAATTGAGATTTCATTTCTTTTTTATTTTAATATTTAATATAGTAATGTACATTATTTCATAACAATATGTATGTTTTAATTTCTAGTTGAATGTGATGAGGGATGCACATTTGTTGTTGGCCAAATTACTTTATTCTCAAGGTTCATATGAAGATGCACTTTCTCATCTAAATAAGGGCGGATTAGACAGCCTGACTGAGAGACCCTTAAGTAATCGCATTATGAAGGTTGTGGCTGAATCCTTTGCTGTGAAAGGTTAATGTTTAAAAACATCTTTTAAATTTTAATGTGTAATCATATAAAATATGAATGTAATGTATACATGTCATGATATACAATACATGTATGATAATAAATGTAATGTAACATCACTGTAAGGTTTTTAAACGTGTAATTGTCTACATTTCCAAAGCTATAAATGTCACATAACTTCATATTTCTTGAAAAAACTACTAGAAACATTCCTTCTCTTGCTACATAAACAAAAATTTTTAGAATGAGATAGCTTTTAGATTTTTTTTCTCCATATTTTCTTTAAAGATTATTTAAGTTTATAAGCACTATCACCCTATATTTATACAAGGTTCTGACTAAAAAATTCGATTTCAGACTTTCATTGGACTTTTGAAACTTTTATTTTTTTCTTTCATTTTTAATATATATATAGTCAAATAGTTACTGAGTTATTAAATTTTAAAAAGTCTATCTGTTTAAAATTTAATTTCTCGAGTACTATTCTTAAAGTTTTGTTCAAATTTCATATTTTGCCACTTAAAATTACTTTCTTTCATTATGTAAAAATTAATATACCTTGAAATTCAAATTTTTTTCATTATTATTAAATAAAATAATAATTAATTATTATTGAAAAAAAATTCTGTACCGAATTATCTTTGGATAAACAAATTTTATAATTCTATGCAAAAAAAAATTTAATCACTTAAAATGCTATCGAAATATGGCAGAGATATGTGAATAAAAGTGATGATTAAGTATCATTTAATGCCAAAGCTTCCGTTTCAGAAACAAGCAGTAAAAAGAATATAATAAAGTAGTTTTTGAGTGCAAAATTTTTTATTCTACTTTACATATACTTTACTAAAGGCAATAGTTTAAGAAAAATTAACAAAGTTGTTGTCATTTGACACTCACGATTGCAACACTCGATTACGCCATCTGGGGAGAAGCCCGGTTCCATGACTAGAGCCTCCCTCTGCTCAGATGCATAGGAACGTATTATGATTTTTTCCCCTGCTGAAATATTTTTTTATTTAAATTATCAAAAATATTTTTTAAAATTTCTACGATTTATACCTAAAACATTTTGTTCAATGCAGTTTTTAGTTCCATGTTGTCTTCAAATTTAAAACTTTTTAAATGGCTTGTAAATCAAGACAGAAGCTAATGTTCTTTCTGCTCCTGTGACTGCCCGTACGCTAATGCTGAAAGCATGCACTGATGCCAACAATTCAATTCAAATCCATAACAGTTAATATCAGATCAAATGCTGGTTATTTTATCATAAATGTCACAATTGACTTTATCGTTATCATCAGGTCGTCAGATTTCAGAAAAGCCATTTCATTTTTATTTTAAAACCGTCATTGAACAGCCAGCCGAATTTTTAGGTTTACGACTGCTAATGTTCAACTCCGTAGCCTTGTAATTTTGATCCTAATCCGGAAGACAAGGGAACTCTTGGATCAGGTATTGGGAGAAATGGCCCTCGGGGAGGACTTTTTGATAGAACTAACTCACATTTGCTTTGCATGGAGAGGAAAACCATGTGAACCCATGTCAACCGCCATCACTGAGATTCAAACCTGGTTCACCTCATTGGAAGGCAAATGATCCTGGCTATCCCTTAAGCCATCGCGGCTCTCAGAAAAGCCATTGCCTCCTCTGAATTGTGTCTTCAGATCATCTTCAGGGATATTCCCCCTGACAGTCACACTCGGGTAACCTGAATGAAGCACTATATCTCTTCCTAAGTATCCTAATAATCTACAAATCATACTTATGCACCTTGATGATACCTAGAAAAAAAGTTATTAGAACATTTACTAACTGACACTATGTTTTGTTTACAACCGAAAAGTTATGGAAAAATGTATAGCTTTTTCAGGATTGCCACGTTACTTGTAAAACCTTGAAAGTCCTTGAATTTTGTTGGAAAAAATAGGGGTTCTGAAAAGTCCTTGAATTCTGTGATAGGGTACTTGAAAAGTATTTGATTTTCTCGAAATTAAAATAACTCATACTTACAAAAAAGAACACAAAAATTCAAGTGGAATTGATAAAAATTCAAATCACTGCTCATTATCCATTTTCTGAAGGAAGGTCAGCAAAGTGAGAGTTCAAGACCCATATATTTATTTATCTCTCCTGTGGTTATGATTGGATGTCTAGTATTAACCAATGGTATCATGCAATTTGCTTCATTTAATTTCATGAAAAGTTTCACTGTTTGATACCAGTTTTTGAAAGTTAACAAGTATCCAATGTCAATATTGAAATTTTTTTTATAGTCTTCAAAACCATTTGAAACAGCAATATTCTAATCTAATAACTCTCAGACATTTGCATTGGTAGCTGTAGGCTATGCATATTAAACAATCTACAACTATTAAACAATGTAAACTTGATAAATTTAATGAATAAAACAACTAATTTATCAACTAAGCATTGTGCTTTTAAAAATATACTATTTCTGCTTCTATGTAATTATAAAATCTGGTTTACATGTATTCTAGCATACTAATAATATTACTGAATAGGACCCTAAAAAATTTGATTTTAAGTCCTTTTAAGTCATTGAATTTTAAATAAAATTTAAGTGAGAACCCTGTCTTTACCGGACGATTAGCTTATATAGAGCGACGAATAAGAAGTAAATTTAAAGCTTTAAGTCAAAACTAATTTGAAACAAAAGTAAAAAGAATTATGGGTTATAAATAAAATGGGTAAAAGGAAAATTTGTGAAGAATAACAACCACAGTTACTCCACATGCTTAATCAATAAAAATGAAAGAAAAAAAAGTTTAATTTTTTCATACGCAATCATTACACGATAACTTTTTTGTTGATCATTTCTGCCATTCTCATACAGGGTTATGCCTAGAAAAGATCCCTCCCTCCTCCACCAGTAAATATAAGACAGCAGAAAGAGAAACTCAAGTCTTACAAGCGTTGGTGAAAGCTGGTGATCTAGCTCTGAGGTATTTACAAGAAATGGAAAGGACTCAAGGAAACACAGGAGGCACAGTTCCCCAACTCATGTCTGGGACGAATCCTCCTACTTCTGGATCCCCCCTACCACCCAATACTGAATACAGAATCGGACCTATTCTGGAAACTGCTCTGCAGAGGGCTCCTATTTTATATATCAAAAATGGGTAAAATCTAATAAATTTTTCTGTCAAATTTGTATTAGTTTATTTTAATTGTTTATCAGAACTTTTTTAAAACAATTTTTTTAATATTGTCTAATTTGTATAAAATCAATTTTATTCCCATTTGAAATGGATACCATTCAGTCACTAGATTGTTGAGAAGAAAGATCAATTTTATTTTTTAATCTTGTATAAGTTATATAAAATTTATTTTACTCCTATTTGAAATGGATTCTATGCAGTCATTATGAGTCATATTGAGAGAAAATATAATTTTTATTTTATTTTTTATCTTGCATAATTTATATAAAATTTATTTTGCACCCATTTGAAATGAATACTATTCAGTCACTAGACTGTGAAGAGGAAAGATCATTTTTTTATTTTTAATCTCATATAATTTATGTAAAATCAATTTTACTCCCATTTGAAATGGATACTAAATGCAGCAATTATTAAATTATAATTTAAATTCAAACACCATAAAACTAATTTTACAATGCAGGGATTTCACTAGTCTTTGGAAAGTATGAGTCCATGGGACAGAGGACAGACATTCTAACTTATTTTTCGCTTCCTCTCTGTAAAGTTTGCCATACTTGACACTTTTTACCATGGTATAACTATAACAGTAAAACATAATAAATGATTAAATTAAACATATTTCTTTCACTTTAGTTGATTAGTTGTAAAATTTTAATTGGTGTATGTCAATTAGTAAATTTATGGTAATGAAATCTTTATTGTGACTCATATAGGTTTGAAAAAAATTAATTATAAATTTTATTTAGTGGTTAGATAATTTTTACTCATTAGATAGACAAATTAATTATAATGTAAATCAGTTTTATTTCCATATCGTCCTTGAACCTAAACATATCTCTGTAACATCTCTGAACCTAAGCATATCTTCGTAACATGCATAACAGAATTCAATAATAGTAATGTTATTTTAACTCGTATTATTTAAAAGTACCTTTGCTGTTGTGTTTAAAATTTTCTCTTAAGCAATTGATGCAATTCTTATGAATTGAAAATCAGATTCAATTTGTTTTTAATTTATGTTTTTTTAATTGTAATAAAAAAATTTTTGCAGAAAATTAAAGCATGCAATAGAGCAATATAGGAAAGTACTGAGTGCTATAGAGACCAGTTCTACTCAAACTTTAAGACAGGTGAGAAATGTTCATTTCACTGATTATTCTGTCTCTTCCATTTCATTGTGGAAATTTTTTATCATTATTTTGTTTAAATTTTTATTGCAATTGTTTTCATAAATTCATTATCAATCTAAAAACAAACCTCAGGGGTCTGTCCAGGTTATATTTAATACTGTTTAGCTGTACCTTCCCAAATTCAACTTCAGGAAAAACGGTAGTTACACAAAACACTTTTAATAACTCAAGTCGTCATGCAAACCCCGTTCTCCGCCAGATGTCTGTTAGGAAAACGTAGCACATGTTGGGTCGGATAGTGCAATGTGGTAAACCTAACCGGTTGCTCACGCCATATCACAGCAATCTTTTTTTTGTTTTTTTTGTCTGAGTTTTTTCAAATGAAACAACGAGGGTCTCCCTGTGTAAACTTTACGGGAAGTCAAAATTCGAACATTATTCTGAACAGACGAACATTATCTTAAACACTATTGTAAGTTTATTCTAACAGACCTTTATTTTTTATGAAACATTTATTTTTTCTCTGTTAAACTTTTTTTCTGTATGACCTAGTCGAAAATGTTCTCATAATGAATCTAACTTTTAGTGCTAGAACTGTTAAATACGTGTTTTTATTAAATTCAAGTTGAAATGTAGCTATGGACAATGATCTTTATGGAATTTTAAATTTGGGTGCAGTTTTAAGGCCACAATTTTACAATATCAGAATTATCTTTTTTATATGGGGAAAAATATACAGAAATTAACCTGTGATAAATGTTTTTTTATTTGAAGAGACAATTTTTGAAAATATTTTCTTTCTTTACCATGTTTTTGTGTTGATTTTTTAATGTAATTTATAATTTTTACAAATTTTTACAAAATAGGTACCTCTCAAAAAGACCCAGAAAGACCCCTGAACTTCTACCCCATTTGCAACCTTGAAAAGCTAAATTTCTAAACTCTCCCTTATTTTCCTAAACCTTCTTTTAACAATAGTTTCATTTGAAACCAATTTTAACAATAGTTTCATTTGTGGAGAGAGGATCTTTTAACAAAATCAACCTTCATTTATGAAAATGTACCCCAAGATTGAATTGAGTTAGCATGTTTTATATACTAGTGAATTGATGTTTAATAATCATAGTAGTTATGCCACACATTTAACCTAAGAATTTCAATATTAAAAACTGATAAGGAAAACAGTTTTTAAAAAAAATATTTCCTTTTGTTTTAAATGGCCCTCATACTAAATAATACAGGTCTTTTAACAAATAGTTTCAAGAATTTTAAAATTGTCTTTGTTCAGGTCGCGTAAAAAGGGGTAATGTTTTCTTGAAAATGAGAAAGGAGTGGATTGTAATTAAAAAAGTTGTTGATTAGTCACAATAATTTCTTTACATATGCAATATCAGATCTTTATAATTTTTTAATTATGAAGAATATTTAGTATTGTACAATTTTTTGAACATAGGAAAATCATCATAGCTGGCCAGACAGCCCAATGCCTTCCTCTGAAAATTTCTCCATAACAACTTCCGATTTATCTTTGATTTGCGGAGTATACTTGATGGTAAAGATTTTGCGTAGTATACTTGGTGGTGTAAATGAAAACAATAAATGGAGAAGGAGATTTAGTTTTGAGTTGTCCAAGATTTATTAACAACTCGATATTATTAAGTACACAAAAATAAATTGAATGAATTGGATGGCCCACATGATTCAAATGAGTGATAACAATATAGTAAAAAAGATGCTGCTTCTTAGACCCACTGGAACAAGAAAGCGGGGAAGGCCGTGGTTGAGATGGGCTGACTCCATAGAAAAATCACCAAGATTTTATTGACACCAGTGATGCTTAATTCATTGTTGTAATAGGTACCCAATGCACTAATTTAGATAATAAGATTAGTGAAAGGTTTTTTTTCTTCTTTTTTTAAGAGAGCCAAATTTTTAAATGAAATGTGTAGTTTCAATTGTTTTATTTTTATTTATATACTTGAAAAACTTTTAGACAATGTCAAGGCAATTGGCTGAAGTACTACTAAGAGGAGTCTCAGAGAAAAGCTATGTCGATTATGCTTTAAAACGAGATGGGAAAAATTCTGACAGTCCTTGGAAACCAAAAAAATATGTTGGAGCAAAGTAATCAATCTTTTCACTCTTCTTAGAAAATTAATTTGTTAATTTGCATAATTGACTTATGCATTTCATTCTTCCTTGAGTAAATATAAATATTTTTTGCATATTCATGTAGTTGTTTTAGTATTAATTTTTTTATGTGAATATTTTATAACTATTTTTACATTTATCAAGTGTTTAAATTTCAATATAATTTATAATTGAAATTTATGAATTTGATAAATGTCTACAAATATCAAGTCTGCATTCTGAATTCTATAGTAGATATGCACACTAGCAGGCTCTCTGCTTTCTTAAAAAAAAAAAAAAAATGGAAGATACTGCATAACTAGTATAAGAAATATTTTGTAGTTGTTTTATAAACTAATTTCAGTGGATTTTTAAATTACCGTGAGATTCAACTTTCCAAAGGTAGATGTATTAATCAAGGTGGTAGAATTTTTAATCCTTTCCTCATTTTTATTTATTTCTGAAACTTTGTTTTAAAACTAAAACGTCTCCAAAACAAACGTATTTGAAAGATTTATTAAAAACAATAAAAAAAAAATTGTTAGCTTATATAGATACAAATTTTAGTTTTAGCTTTTTTCTGTAGAAGCACAAGGACAGCTAAAAACCTATTGTAACTTAATTTATTTTAGGAAGATTAAGTTTTTTAATCTTCAATTATTTTTACAACTCAAATCTATTATTTATTAACTTAGCCTTTAATTTATAAGACAAATTTACCCTCTTCTTATTGTGTTAAGGAAAATTTAAATCATATTAGATTGATATTAATATTAAATTTATTGCAGCCTTTAAAAATAAAAAAAAAAGCTTTTACTTTTTTTTTATTAAAAAAAGGTAGTACACTTTTATTGTACAGTATCTGCGTAAATATAAAAGTTTTGGGGTATTCATGTAATTTATATAATCATACATAGGGTTGTGTATAAATTTGTCAAATTCTTTGGGATAGCAACAGAGATAGTTGTCAACAGAGAAATGAGAAAATCTGCATTGTCCATAAAAGCTATATATGTAGAATATTTAGAAAACATAAAGCAACACAAAAAGAAAAAACAATTGGAGGATTAAATAAAAAAAATATTATTAATTCCTGTTGGCAGAAGTTAAAGGTGATGATAATCTAGCTGTTTTTAGCTTGAAAAGGAAGAGAAGCACAAAATCTGTCTCTTTTTATCAAATTGAATATTAAAGAAAAAAGTTGCACATTGAAGAAATTTATGTTGCAATAAAAATGACTTGATAATAGCATTATTTTCATTATAATGTCAATTATTGTAAATTGAAATTATTTACCTTTCTGGAATAAATTTTTTTATGAAGTGCCCTTTTTTTTTGCAAATTAGTCCTTAAAAAGTTCTTAAAATTGCTTTGATTTTTAAATGGAAAGATTTGTATGAACTGTGCCTAGTGTTCTATGTGAATTGTCTTATTATAGAAATTCTTTCTCATTTGATTTTATCAATATGATTGATAATGAAATTAAAATTAATTTTAGATTTAAAAAGAAATTGAATTGTGTATGAAAATTGCCTTAAACAGTTTTGTTTTTCTTTCAGTCTTTTTCTGCCAGAAGATGAAAATGAAGAAATACTTCTGTTATTATTCATCAGTGAAGCTATGGTAAATTAAAAAATAGTTCATTCAGTTTAAAAGTCTTGGTATTTGTTGAACCTAAAACCTAAGAAATGGTTCCTACTTATAATGCATTTTATTTCTATCAAAATAATTGCTACTCAGGTATTTTGTATCATGATATGTACAATATTTTTTTATCAATTTATCTTTTTTATCAATTCTTTATTATTTACAATAGAAATGTAACTATAACTACTGATGCTGGTTTATTTATCTGATATAACAATTCATAGTAGCAGACATTATCATTTAGTGAGTTTGTCGCTGAAAGCAAATACACAATTTTAATGTTAAAATAACAATAGAAAGACTATAAAATAAAGTAGGCATATTTGTTTCATTTATTTGGAAAAGTTTTATCGATTTAAAATTTGTATCTTGAGCAGACTGGTTTGCCTATAGGCTTAATTATATAGGTCTGTATTTTATGAATGATCCAGGAGAAGAATGTTCGAATCGTAACCAAAAGAAAATCTATTCTTTTGGCATCATTGATAACAGTAAGTTGTCAAGATTGGATAAAGGGATGAGATTGATTATTGGTCAATAAGAGGCATATTCTTTTGAAGTAAGTGGCACGATACAAAAAGTTGAAACATTTCCTTTTGTTCGGAAGAAAACAACTTAGCCTATGGTCGCCCACGCATTATCTTGTTAAACGAAAGGATTTAAATTATAAAAAGGAAACAAACAATATTAGTTTTTTACATTGCTACCAGAAATAAATAACAATGTATTCCATTTAACCTCTTTATTTTTAATATTGCTCACTTGAAGTGCTGAAAAATGTATTTACCTAAAACCAGTTTTGTTGTAATAGGTTAGTAATTTATTAACTAATTATAAACATAAATTTTTTGTATTTTTAACCACTTCCCTTACCAAAGTTTTTGAAGCAAAAAATCAACATATTTTTTTATTTTATTTATAAATACAAGGAACTGAAACAAAACATAACACACAAGTTCTAAGTTGAAAATTTAATTTTTTTATGCATAAAAAATATTTAATTCACCATCAGTTTACTATCCCAAATTATCTCGGACAAATAAAAAAAGTTGCTCGGGCAAATGAAAAATGCAGTCCCACAAATAGCAAAATCTCCAAACAAATATTAGCAAATTTCCAATCACAGTAGATTGTTATTATTTTTTTTATTTTGCCGATTAAAACTGGCCAAATAAAAACGTGACAAAACAAAAGGTATTGATGAATTCTGCTATGCCCGAGTTTACACAGGATAATAAATATTTGCAATATGTATTCATACCCGAGTTAACTTGGGAATGAATATATATTGCAAATATTTATTACTTGGGATGATCAGGGAAGTGGTTAATATATTTTTACGGTGATTTGTTTCAATATGCCTTACTTGTTATATCAAGCTTTTATTGATAATGAAAGAATCTTTTTTCAGGCTGTGAGAAATGCTGTTCTCGATTTGTCTCCAGAATTCGAAGATGCTCGAGTTCATTCATTCCATAACGTTTCAGCTGTTTATGATTTGCTCACTATTGCTCTGAGTCGTAGGTCCCAGTTCAATCTTCTCGTAGATGTAAGTTCATACTCTTTGTTTATCAAATTGGAACTGTACTAGAATAAACATAACAGAATTTTATTCATACTGTTATTCCACTAGACTTATGAAACTACGGATCCTTAGGACTCTGGACTTCTAAATTTCTGGTTCCTTTTTTTTTTTATTAAAAGCAAGTTTAAGTAAAATAATGATAGAAATCCTTTAAAGAATTTTAAATTTTCAAAAATAACAAAATTCTACAAAAGTTAAAACTAATTCAAAATATAAAGAAAAAATCTGGAGAAAGGGACTTTAAAGGACTTTCTTTATTTTATAATTTTGAAATGTGGCCATGTTCATCACAATAAGATTTACAGAATAAATCAATTTTTCTTAAATGATTTGATTTGTTTTGCTAGGATAAATATCCCTCCTTCGTATCCAAATCTCACACAGCCGAAAATTATGCTTAAATTCTACAAACAAACTATATCCACTATTGAAAAGAATTTGGGCTAAACTGCTATGAAATTAACTATATCATTTTAATGAAAAAAGTATCAATTGGTTAGCAACTGGCAGACAATTCTCTAATATCCATATTCATTATATTTAGTCACCCTGAGACTAGCGGTGACCATAAATTATTATTCAGAAGATTAGTCACAATTGTTCCTTGATGTCGGCCGGATAGCCTAATTAATAGGGCACTGGGCTCATGTCCAAGAATTCGTGGGTTCGATCCCCGCTGGCCGAAAACTCACTGTGTAATAAATGATGACTGGTGCACGTTAAATCTGTCGAGTCACAAAGTCCTGCATGTTCCTATAACAAATCACACCTTTGAGGGTACTGATCCAGGAGTTTCCTTGTCTTCTGGATTGGTTCAAAATTACAAGGCTACGGAGTTGAACATTAGTAGTCGTAAACCCAAAAATTGGGTCGGCTGTTCGACGACAGATATAAAATACAAAATTTTACCTTGACAGTAATTTAATATATTATTAATAAAAAACTTTTTTACATTCTTAGATTTTTTATTTTAGGCTAGTTTCTTTTTATTCATAAATTTTGATGCTAATGAAGACTATATTTTTTCACTTTTTTATTTGGAGTGTTTTGTGACTATGATTATTTGTGTCAGTATGCTAATGATTTTATTTTTCATCAAAAATGAGTGAATGCTTTTTTTGTTTTGTTTTAGTCTTTTGAACGTGCCATGAAATTTGCATTTGAAGAACAGCATATATGGACGCAGTTTGCATTATCGCTCATATCAGCAGGAAAAGTAAACTTAACTTTTTTTTATTAGAATAATAGTTTTGCATATTATTTTTTATGACCATAATGGTTTTTTATGACTCTTTCTTGTGTTCCTTTTGAATAATTTATATTGCTTTGCATATTCCTTAATAGAATTACTAAATTTTTTATGAATGCATTCCATGGGTGCCCACTAGCAGGGTGCGTATCATTTTTAAAAAGTGCTTATTTTTGTTATTTAAAAGCCCTTAAAGGTACTTTTTTTATTCGGGGTATGTAAAAAGTGCTTAATTTTCTATCTTTTAAAAAGAGATTCTTTTCTTTGCCGTATCGTTTGTCATTCTAAATTACAAAAAATGCATGATTTTCTTTGCAATATTTATCAGAAACTAGTTATTTTATCATGATTATCTATGATAGTTTTTTAATTTCATTGATTTTATGTTTATAAATTAAGAGCTTCAAACGATAGAAAAAAATTCTTTTTATTACTGCACAGATTCTAATTGTGAATGCTTTTTTTTTTTTGGAAAGTGATTAAAAATATTTTTTGAGTGCTTAAAAAATGCTTTGAGCGTGTTTATTTTTTGTTAAAAAATTTGGCTATGCTCCCGGACTACAAAGGTCAAAAATCCAATAAATTTATAAAAATTTTTTTAATTTTATGATATTATTTATTTATTTATATAAATAAAATTTATATAAGTTACTTTATTGAAATAAAAAAATGATGTTTGTTATGCATCATATTGAATCTCTTCAACTCATAAACTGAATGCAAAAGTTGTATTTTTAAATTCAATGCTTTAAAATGTTTTTTTACAGTGCTTTTTTTTATCTTATTAGGATAACACTTAATAAAAATTATTTTTTTTTGCTCATATACATTGGTTTTAAGTGTTTAAACAGAGCATAATTTTTTATGTATTGAATTTTTCACTTTCTCAAATTCTTAAAAAAAAACTTAATATTGAATTTGTCACTTTTCAGCATTCCAGAGCTTACATGGTTTTGCATGAAGTTGCCCGCTTACAACCAAAGAACTCATTGCCTTGCTTGTTGGCTTCAAGAATATGCTACGAGAACTTAGATCTCCCAGAGAAAGGTCTCAAAATGGCAGAAATGGCTCTTGAACGGGAGACGGCCTACCCTCAAAATATACTGGCTCGATGCCACATTGCGGTCGGCTTGGGATTAGAAATGATGTGTAGCATCACCAGGACCCGAGCGTCGCGACACAAACTGAGGAAAAAGGCCTTTGAATCCTTTTCAAAGTAAATAATTTAAACTGAAATAATTTGAAATATTAATTTTATATTAATTACACAATTAATTAATATATAATTAATATAATAATTATAATATTTTTATGGAGTGAATAATATTAATTTGAAATAATGTCTAGTGCCATCGTAAGTATTATTTCAAAAACTAATGAAAAAAGCTTCTGTATTTTTTTCAAGGTAAAAACAATTTCCCTCATTATTTTACCATAATTTTTGGTACATTATATGCAGATCTTTAATGAAAGTGATTGTTTTAGAAATGCATTTTTTTAAGACTAAACTAAAGATTTTTGCTATAAAAAATATTTCTTAATATTGAGACGTAACTGATCTAAGCCTTTAATACATGTACTCAAATATATAATTTATGTATGTTTGGGACATGTCTCTGCTGTTTTTATCATACTTTTCATCTTTTATTTATCAGTATAGAGACTGTGTTGGTGACAGCTTTGTAGAGTTGTCACATACGCTAACACCCATGATTAACATTTCAAAGAACTGGACACCATTTTGCTACAATAAAATGCACACTTTGAACAAAAATCCCTATCCTTTGAAACTTTCAGTAAGTGCTGTACCATCTATTGCACTAAGAATAATTTATTTCGAGTAATACTCGGGCGTGACTTTTTGAAAGACCAGTGCTGTGGCAGAGATTATTTTGGGCATGACAGTTAAAAGGTTAAGAAAATGGAAACAGTTCCAAGTGCATATTAACAAAAATGGACACAGTTGGAAATTCTTGTTTACAAAGATAAACACGAATCAAAATTAATGTTTTCAAAAATGGATATAGTATTTGATTCTGTTTTCAAACATTTTTGAGTTGTGCTTTTAAAAAAACAAATCTACTGAGTCCTAATAAATTAATAATGTGCTATCATCCATTTGCATGAATCACTTGGTACATTTTATTAAATTAGTCTTTTTTAAACGAATTAAAAAGTCTATAATTGTTTTTACAAGGTTGCCGCAAGTGCAATAAATTATTCGCCTCCTCTCAAAAATACAATTTTGTGGTTCCCATGTCTTCTTATGATACGAACTTGGCTACAGAGTACTGATAATGGATAATGTTTATGATATTTTCATTTAAATGATAATAATATGAAGTTAGTGAGTTCAAAATTAGTGATCAAAAAGGTGTGAACAAATAGTTATTATTTTCAGTTGTTGGAATTAAAATATTTGCCATTAGAATTTAATAAATTAAAAAACCTCAAAATTGCATTGCTGCTTGGACAAATAAGAATGAACATGTTTATGTTTAACAGTACCACTAACAGTGAAATTTTGATCATATATTTGTATACATGATAGTAATATTTATTTCTAGTATACTTTTTTCTGCATATAAATTCTACATTTAGCGAGCTTTAAGGATTTTTAGTTTTTTTTAGTGCTTTTATCTGCTTCAGTATTTTCAATTGTGAAAATGCTTTTTTCACAATATTGCACATTTTGTTTACATTTGAATTTTTTTTTCATTAATGAAATGACCTGTTTTCATACTTTGTCCGAACCACACAACGTCAGAAAGAGGCATTAAACCCCCCCCCCAAACTGCTGCGAAAAAAAACATGTTCTAAATTGGTGTTCCTGGTTTTGAGTTATCAATTAACATGCATTCAGACAAAGACAAATTTTTGCTTTTTTATTTATGCATATATGTATGTTAAAGATAATTATGGAGCATCCTGTTAAAACCATTATTATGCATTATATATGGATACTTTCAATTTTTAGAGCCAGCTCTATTGATCCCAATGATCATCTCCCAGAATTTTATATGGCACTGAACTATGCTCAAGCAAGGCAGGTTTGTATAAATTAGTACATTACAGGGATCTGTTCAGGTTTTTCAAGAGGTACCTATTTTGTGAAATGTAAACATACTTTTGTGAAAATTAAAGTACCTATTTTGTGATAATTTAGACATAATTTGAGAAAACTAAAAATTATATTAAAAAATCAACACAAAAATAAAGTGCAGTTACAAAATATTTTCAAAATTGTCACTACAAATAAATATCATTTATAATTATCTATATATTTTTCTCGATACATTCAAAAATGATTTTGCTATTGTAACATTTTGCTCTTAAAATTGTATCCAAATTTAAAAATCCATAAAAATCATTGTACATAGTTAAATTTGAATTTAATAAAAACATGCAATTAACAATACTAGTACTGAAAGTTATTTTTATTATAGGAATATTTTCAACCTGGTCATACAGAAAAATGTTTCACTGAGAAAAAAATTTTTCATAAAAAATAAAGGTCTGTTTGAATAAATTGACAACAGTGTTTATAATGTTGGAATTTTGACTTCCTATAAAGTTTATAGAGGGAGAGCCTCGTCATTTCATTTTAAGAAACTCGCCGAAAAAAGCTCACTTTGATGTGGCATAAGCGATCGGTTAGACTTACCACGTTGCACTATCTGACCAAACACATGCTACCTTTTCGTAAAAGACAGCTGGCAGAAAGGCTCCTCTTTTTCATAGATTGCAACAAGAACGAGGTTTGCGCGAGAGCTTGCTTTTTTAAAAGTATTTTGTGAAACTACCTGAAGCTGAATTTGTCAAGGTACCGCTAAACGGTAGCAAATTCACCCTGGACTAAATTACCCTCATTACTAAATTACCCTCATTCACCCTGGACTCACCCCTGCATTAAATATCATATTCCTTAATAGAATTNAATGTATTTTTATGTAGGGTAAGCTAACCAGTGAAGGAACACTTAAGCTTTGCTTGCCTTTTAAAAATTCATATTAATTTCAAAATTTGTAATTTTAGTTAAATGACAGTGTCAACATATTTGTTACTAATTGCAAATTATGTAAAAAAAATTGTAGAGAACTTACATAATACTGTACTAAAGTTTTGGAGGTTCAAATAACAAGTAGTAAGAAGACCAAGTGAAGGAACAGAAGGAACCCAGAAAGGGAGCACTTAATTTTGGTTATTTTTTAATGCTCTTTATGAATTTATAAGCCATACAAATATTTAAAAACAAGCCTATTCTTGAAATTATAACATATAAATACTTGGAAAATGTTAACTTTTTTTTTGTAATTATGAATTGAAAATTAACACACTCTTCATTCACTGGGAAATCTATGCCCAGCAAAGGAACATGCCTGTTCCCTCACTGGTTAGAAGTTATTTTTCGTATTTTTAACATACTTTTGATGCGGAACATCACTAAAGGTACCAGAAAATTAAAGTTTATGTTTTATTTTCATTAACTTAGAAATAAACCCAGTAAAGGAACACTTGTTCCTTCACTGGTTTTTCATTGTTTGGTGATCCAGTGAATAAGCATCCCCTTATCTCAGTACTTTATTATGCTATGATGCTTAAAAAAAATAAAACGTTAACTTCAATAACTATATTTTGAATTCTCCTTTTCACAGTAAGAAAAATAAAACTATTACATGCAATTAATTCCACTTCAAACATATAAATACAAACACTCACCTTATAATTTTTTCAAAGAAACAAGGTGTTGCAGAGATAATAGCAAACTCAAAAATTTTTCCAGAGAATTCTATTTGACCAGGTAATCAAAAACATTGCTAGATGACTTCCTATTGTTTGGCAGTAAGCTATTGTTACCAATCAATCTAAAGAAAACTTTCAAATTCTTATTTTTAATCAATATATATGAAATGTTCCTTCACTGGTTGGTTTACCCTACAATAATCCCAAACTCTCCAGCTGAATGTGCAAAGATAATGATATAGGAAAGAGTTTTATTTTTTAACCCCTCTTCTATATAATTGAAATTTAGTTTTCACATTTTAAGATAAATAATTAATTCAAAAATATTCAAAACTTTGTTTTTAATTATTTCAAGGAATAATGTGAGTATTTAAAAAAAATAAAAGCTAATACTATTCCAATGAATTTAAAAACCAATCCAATCAACTTGCGTATAATGCAGTCAAACCCCGCTGTAGGGAACACGGTTTATAGTGAACTCCCGACCAACCAAATGTGCCTTGCTACACATGCAAAATGTTATTTTTTGTGAATATAGTGAACCAAAAAAAGAGAGGAAGTTGGATATTATGAACTTTTTTCTGACTTCGACTGATTTATTTTCTTCATCTTTTTTTTTTGTAACAATTTTGAAATTTCTACTTCAAAATAAATACATAAACTGATTTTTAAAAACATTTATAGTATGGAATGTGGCAATAATCCTCTTTTCTGGTTAGCTTCATTATTGAATTGATTCAGCATATGAAGAAACCACAATCTTCCAGTATCTGAATAAATGCTTCAAGTCAAAGCCATATGAATTTTCTAAGCGATTTTGTGAGACTACTTTTGTGTGCTCGAATGTCTGGTTAGACAGGTTTAAAAAGCGGAATAACATAAATTCAGGAAAAATTATCGGAAAATCGGGAAGTGTTTCCACATCTGATGTTGAGGATTACTCATCAGCTAAAGATTACTAACTTTTTTTGTACGCGAGACGAAGAGTAATAAAAAGTAAAAGTTAACGCATTTTTGTTACTGCGTATCATTTTTCAGTCGTTTTTGTATTTCATTTTATTGGTCATTTCTTTAAATAATGTGTAATAAAAGGAGGTAGAACCATTAGTTAAAATTGTTTGCCTAACGGTTATGGTGAAATCACGGTTCGGTATAGTGAACCAAAATTTCAGTACCTTGAAGGTTCACTATAGCGGGGTTTGACTGTATTAACATATCCTTCCAAGAACACTAAATCTATTTTCTGTTTTGTTGTACTCTGAGCTATTTTAGCTAAGTATGTAAATGTTTTCGTTGTTGTCTTTTTCAGCTGTCAGAAGCTGTTTTCCATGCAAAAACAGCACTACACCTGAAGTCTGAACATGTCCACTCCCTTCATCTTTTAATTCTTCTTTTATCAGCTCAAAAACAGCACTCAGAGGCACTCCAGTTGATTGAAGCGGCTCTAGAAGAATATCCAGAAAATTTCAAGTGAATACCGACTTTCATTCAATTTTTGAATTCAATTTTTCATTCACTGTTAAGCAAAGTGTTCAGTAATATTAGTACATTCATTTTTAATTAATTTTGTGCAATTAATTTTCTTTATCAAAATAAAGAACTTAATTTTTTTTCTTTTTGAACTTGTACTAGTTTTTTCTTGAATAAAAAAATAAAAGTTAGATAAATGGAAAGGGTGTATATGTTTACTATACTCTGAAGCATAAACAATAAGCATGAGATTAGCCTAAAGAATTTTTAAGAAATAGATTTCAGCTGATTGTGTAGTAGGATTAATTAAGACTTTCGTTGCAAAACTTTTTTTTTTCTATTTAAAAAGAAATCTAAATTATTTATGCATTTAAGATATTTTAAAAACTTTGGTTTATAATTAGTTTATAATTATAATTTTTTATTATTAATAAAGTATAGCAATACATTTCAATCAATATAAATTTTTTATTATACGTAATGCAGCATTCAAATGAATTGAAAAAAAAACTTAACTTATGTATATTATAATCGAAAAACTATTTTTTTTAAAATCAGCTAATTTAAATCATTACTTTACCTCATCATAACAATACATTTCAATCAATATTCATTTCTTATTATATGTGTCATACAAATGAATTGAAAAAAAAATTATATATGTATGTTTAGAAACTAATTTTTTTTGAAAAAAGGCAGCTAATTTAAATCGATATTTTATTTGTGACTTAAATCAACAAATCCTGTATAAAAGTTTTAAAAAAATTGATTGTTAACATTTCTGTGATTTTCTTTTTTGCTATAAATATCTTTTGTTTGCAGTTTACTGTGCACTAAAGCTCACCTTGAAGAACACTGTCTAGGTGCTGAAGTGGCATTACTCACCAGTAAACAGATGCTTCAGTTGTGGAAGAAAGTTTACGAGACAAAACTAACATCGTAAGTAGTTCATTACTTTCTTGTACAAAACCTTTACTAAATTCACATAGTACTTGAATGGAAATGTTATAAAATAAGATCAAAGTTTTTTTTTCTTAAAAAAATTTCAAAATTTCAAAAATTAAAAAAAAACTATATTAAAAGAAAAAACTTATCTATCTTAGCACACAGTGTTTCTCTCGAAACATCTTTAGATACAATAAAATGACTTTAAAAAATATGGTTTTCTAATGAATCTCCTTATTTTTTATATTTTTCTTGATTCTTATTCTTGATTTTAAAGCATTATTTACATTACAAATACAAAAAAGAAAAAAAAACTTAGGGGCTCAAAGTAATCAAGCAAATGGTGCTATAAACTATATTTACTGCACGCAAAAAAGATAGGGCATGATTAATGTGGTTCATAGAACTATAAATATATGTGTATATGTATCTCTCTCTCTCTCTTTATATATATATATATATATATATATATATATGATATCAAAATAGAATGAAGATGTATTTTTCTAAAAGCATTTTAATGATGACTTGGTTGTAGTAGGGGACTTCTCATAATCTGCCCTACTCGTTATATCCAGCTATATATATCAATAAGTTAATATCCCTCTCTAGTCATGACAATTTCATCTCGAATCCGCATATCCGTGGTAATAATTCTTTTATGCAAGACGTGAAAAAATATATGCGATTTCTTTCACGCTGCTGTGAAATGCCGAATTTCAAATCCAATTTTTTTTCCATATCGTAGCGAAAATCAGATTAAAATCCAACAAAAATCTGAAGTCTAGTAAAAATCAAAAAGAAGTATAAATTAGCTGAAAAACGGAGGATTCTCATCCCTGCTGAATACTTTTTTTAACAAGTTGCAAATGTAAAAATAAATAAATAATAATAATTTTAACGGATGCCCGGATATGGGACTTTGCACTGTATTTATATATAAATCTCATAATATATATATAAATCAAATTTTTATAAAACATTATATGATTTCCATCATGGTAATATTGAGAAACTGCTGGTAGTAGTGAAAACTGTAAACATCACAAAGTTTGTTTCCATTTGTTAATACTTAGAGTAGCAAAGATTTAGTTACTGCAGAAGCTATATTAAAAGAAACAATGAAGTTTAATCTATTTTCTAATATATAGCTGAAATTTAAAATGTCTCCTTCATTTGAAGCAACATTGAACTTGGGAACAAATAACAATTTATTTACACCTTTATAATAATATAAGAAAAAAAATGACTACTTTCTTAAACAAATATTAAAAAAAAGGATGAAAATAAACACTAAGTTTATTTTACATGCAAGAGAGGGGATTTTTCAAGAGTTTATATGCATTCAATTTAGATTAGTTTGTATTTTAAAATTTCACTCATATAACTGTTTTCAATTTAATTGTTAAACTTGAATTATTTTAATATTTTATTCATAAATGCTTTTTTTTTATTATTTGTTTGCATAAATTCTAATTTGAAATTTTTATTTTCCAGTGAAACTGAGGGCGGTGATAGTAGAAGTTTGTTTCATATTTATTCCTCAGAGTTTTCTGATGTTGACTCTGGTAATTTATTTTCTCATCCCTCCAGTTTTTTATCTATTTGTTGCTGTTTATTTGTTCAATACGAGCAAGCTAAAAAGATTACTTATTGTATCTTGTCTAAATAATGACTATCTGGAAAAAGTATTTTTTTTTCTTTTCAAAAATGTAATTTTTTTTTTGCTTTTAAAGTATGCCAAATTCTTTGTGTGTGTGTACGTGTGCGTGTGATTTATGAATGAAGGTAGCAGTCCATATTAAATTTCAAAGTGTATAAAATTTCAGTCCTTATAAAATTTCTCTAAAGGAGCCATCCCTGAATGATGTCACTCATCAAATGCACTAACATCTTTCTGCGAGATACTTTTAAAAATAACAAGTATACATGTTACTAAATTAAAGTAACAAAAGCATTTACTTCAAGAAGAAAAACATTTCGAATCAAATAAAATAATTTTTTAATTAAATATGTAATATTTTTTTCTTCTAATATTATGAGCTATATTCTTGCATTTTGTAGGGGGAAAACACANATCTTCCTATTAGGGTTTTATCTGAATGCATAAGAAGGTGCGCAGAAGATCGCACCACAACTCAACATGTGCCACAATGTAGATCATTTGATTTCCTACCAGGTAAAAGGATATCACCAGTTCCAACCCATGAGGGAAATGATATAGGTCCTGGTAGGACAAACATAGTCGCTGAGTACGAAGACTCCAGTTGTTATCTTTATTATGACCAAGCATCACCAGATGGTAGCGAAACATTAGTACGACAACAGGATGTCTGGCATTTTAATGAAATTTGCATTACATGTAAGTTAAATTTATTTCCCCGTACATTGTATCATTTTTCTTAAGTTGCATTTGTGCCATTCATTCCCTTTTGGCGTAATTCGTTTGAAAATCACGAATTTTTTTTATAAAATGTTTAATTTTTATAGAACTCTATATTGATTTATCCTACAAGGATGTTATCCGGAATAGCGATGGTCCCGATCGTTCCGGATAATCGGTTCCCTACTGTATATTGGATTTTAAAACTATGTGGAAATCAATGGTACTAACTACATTAAAAAAATTAGAATTAAGTTTTCTGCAGAAGAGAAAACCAAATTTTTTGCTTCATTAATCTTAATTTTTCATTGTTCTGAAAGGAGAATAGAAAAAGCATTTTTTTGCACTCAGATGCGCGAGAAAGGCATCTTTTGGATATAATTCTGAAGAATAAAATCTTTAGAAAATTTCTGCAGGAAAAAAAAAGTTTTACTTCTCAAAAGAAAAATCTTTCTGAAAGAACTCGGTAACATTCTGCGCCATGATTCTGTCATTATTGTATCTTTTTGTAAGAGTGCTTAAGTATGTAAGTTTTCTTAATATTGTCAGGTTCACCTGCGGGAAATTGTAGCACTGCTGCCGCCAAGGTGGAACAAGCACTCTCCGAAGTGGAATCCTCCATTAGCGGTTTCCAGCCAAAACCCGGACCTCAATACGTATGGTTGCTTCAACTGCATATTTGGCTACTCGTCATCGAACTCTACCTCCGGCTCGGACAACTGAAAGAAGCCGAAGCTTCGATCAGCGAAGCCAGTGCTCTTTATCCACTTTCTCATCAACTGATGGTTATGGTGAGTCTCTTTTCCTTTTATGTTCAGAATCACAAGGATAAAATATCTCTACTTATCTTTTTCTATGTGATATTTTCTTTTCTATTTCAAAAATAATATAACAGGATTTCCAGTCCTCAGGGAAAACCTGGAAAATACAGCGAATTTAAAAATCATCTAAAATAACGGGAATTTTGTTTCTTATTTTTGTCTTTTAAAGATGGTAACCATTCAAAGTGCAATCTATGGGATATTTGAGGATGATATTTCAGCTATATTAAACTAGTTTATTTCCTTTAAGTATGTTCATCTGTTCCTTTAAGTTTTTTCCGCGATTATAACTAGTATAGTTAGCCCAATATAGCTCACACAAGAGCACAGTAATTGTTGTGTTTCCTCTTAATATATCGTGTATAATATGTACAATGAAAACACAGGGAATCTTTTTTCCAGATTTGAGTGGCAATCCTGTATAATAAATAGAAAGAAAAAAAAATTTCTTTGATTAAATTGTTAATGAACATTTTAAAAGGTTCAGTCTATTAGTTTGAGTATAAAGCAAACTAGAACAACCTGAATAACTTAATTCTAAATAATTATAAGTAATCAGTAAATGCAATTTTAGATACTTACTTAGTTATTTATTTTAGAATTTTGAAGATGCTAACAAAGTTTGATGTTTTAGGTGATTAGCAATTAATATCAAATAATATTTTATTATGATATTTTAATGCTCTGTTAGGTTGAATTCACAAATGCAATAATTTTCTTTTAATTATATATCTTTTTTTTTTTGTAATTTCAGAAAGGCAGAGTTCATGAATGCAGACAAGAGTTTCATGAAGCTAAGCTATGTTTTCAAAATGCAGTTGCTGTTAATCCATTCCACGTAAAGGCTCTTCAACATTTAGTGAGTATTTTAATAACTAAGTTTTTTTATAAACGCAAATTAGTGAGTATTATATAAACTTATTTATAAATTGAAGTTGTGCCGTGGTAGCCCAGTGATTAGAGAATCAGACTCCGACCCATAATGACCAGGGTTTGATCGTCGACTCCACTAAGGCTTACAGAGTACGTGCGATATACGTGCTCATCTAAAGTCTGTGGAATGGAATGTCCTGTGGTCGGTCACTGAGAGTTGAGTAGGTACAGGGATTTGGAGAAAATTTTCTTCCCCTTCAGATCTGTGTCTAAATTAAGGAAGTTGTCTCACAAATGAGATCCCCTCTGCAGAGGATTAAAATCTTCATTTCCAGTAATGTTTTCCAGGCGGTCACCAATGGCTCTAGTGCAATGTAAATAAATTACCTACCAATCTCTATAAATGCAAGTTAGTGAGTATTATATTAACTGTTAGTTAAAAATGCTAGTTAATATAGTAAACAATCAAACAGTCTTATAGTAAACAAATGTTTCTTTTAAATAATAACAATTCTTTTAAATTAATTTATATTTTTTTATTTGGAAAATATTAAAATGTGATAAAACATTGAATGATAGATTATGTTAACTACTAATGAAAACTGTTTCTGCTAATCAACTGTTTAAAAAGTTAAACTCAAAGATTAAAGTAAATAAAAGTTTGTTTTTGTATACCATTGTCTGTGGAAAATTTAGAGTTCAGTACTTTTAAAAATAATTATAGTCTAGAAAATGACATTTCTAGTCAAAGAACTTTTTTTAGACTAGAAAGACTGAAATAACATTGACTAGAAAGTGACATCATTAAATGTGATCCATAATAGTTGTATAATAAGACTTTTTTTTAAATGTGTAAATTGGTTATTGAAACTTTTTATATTAGAAGTAATAAATAAAAGAATTGCACATTTATTCTAGTTGTGTTTCTACTTGTTTTGTAAGAAATATCTTGATTATGACTCGTAACAAATTCTACTATTAACATTATTTTGTCTGTAATGGTTTCAAAAATATTCTAATAATTCACTTTTCTAATTGTTGAATGTTTAAGTGATTACATGATATATTTTTTAATGAATTTTGTTACTGCTTCAGGTTATCGAAGTTTGGCTCTGTATATTACTAAAAATAAGTTACAGCTATCTAAAATTAATTTAATATGTAATAAGAATGTAATAAACACAATGAAATATTTGATACTAAAGTTTGTAAAATATTTTATTACAAATGGGAATTATATATTTCTACAATTTCTGTATTTTATTTAGTTTTATCCATTGTAAAAAATGTTGTGTGTTATTAAATAATTTAGAATATAAAATATTGTAAATTATTTTATATTGCACAATAGTTTGCTTGCAGTTTCTATTATTTTGTCTCTTCAAGTTAGCTGTCATGATTATAATTTTATATATCAATAACTATTGTTATTTAAAATTATTAATTTGCAACAATAATAGTATTAAAAAAATCATTAAAAATAGAAAATATTGCAACCATTTCTTCATTTTATATCCTATTATTGTAGAGTAAAATATAGTAAGTTTACTTGCAATTTTTATTTTTTTTGTCTTTTCAGCTGTGATATAATTAGGTTTATCAATATCTATTTTTATTCAAAATTATGAATTTACAAATATAATAAAGTAAATTACATTTGATTTTATCATATGTTCTTCAAAAATGTAAAATATTGCATCCATTTCTTTAATTTATATCCCTTTATTGGTTGTACAAAATACTTACAATTCCATAATTGTGCAACAGAAGATTATGTTGCACAATAGTTTAAATTTCTATTATTCCAACCATGATATAATTCATGCCATATATTAATCTAGAAGTTTATCAATATTAATGTTTATTTCAGAGTATGGTTCATCATAGTATAGGAAATAGCAGGCTGGCAGAGAAGCTCCTTAGAGATGCCGTCACCATAGATCCTATGTCACATCAATCTTGGTAAGAAAGCTGTTTCAATCACTTTTAGAAAGTGTTTTTAGATAATATTTTTAGTGAAAAGTATCTAATCCAGAGTTTTTTTAAAAGAAATAGTGTCATATTTTTTTACAGTGGGTGCAATTGCATATAAATATCTTGTATTGATTCTTCTAGGTTTAATATGGGAAAAGTATTGCAAGACATGGGTGACTTTGTCACTTCCACTGAGTGTTTTGAAACGGCTATAGAACTGGAGGCCACATGTCCCATATTACCCTTTAGTAACATTCCACGAACATTCGAATAAATACTCTGCTTATCTGTTAGAAAAAAATATACTGTTTCTCTATCAAAAATTTATTTGTTTGTAAATATACTTAGTTTATACAAGTTGCTTTGCTCAAATGCAGTAATCATTGTTACCTAGTTGCCCTTTACCTAGCCTACTCTGAAGTCTGAAAAATCATTTATTTATGTATGTTTTTTACGGCAATGTATAAGGTCTATTTAAATTTATCTGTTGCATAAAAATAGGCTTTGCTTTTATAAAAAATTTATTTTTATAATTTTATTTTTTAATTTAAAAAATAATTTATAGAAAACTGAAAGTACCGTTGTGTACAGTCAAGAAAACTGAGTAATTTAATATTAATTGCTAAGTTCATCAACAGTTTATAGAAAATTGTCAAACAATGTTTTCTGTTGGATATTAGGTTTTTGTAATTGAAGTATTTGCAAGTGTGCCTTTGAATTTTATTATCAGACTGCATTACATTGCTGCAAATGTTGATTATTTAGATAAAATTGTTTTATAGCTTATCTCAGTTAGCAGCACAATAGTTAGATAAACTTTATCAGGGTGCATAGCCAAGTTTTTAAACAAAGAATAAGCACTCAAATAATATTTTTAAGTACACAGTAATAAAAATTCTTTCTTATTATTATTGAAGGTTCTTCATACATATATTAACAAAATACAAAATAATTTTCAAAGACTTTACACCATCATGATAAAAATAACTAGTTTCTAACAAAGAACTCTTTTCTTGATTTATATTAGCCACCATAAAAACAATTTATACACAAGAGTGATTATGTAAAAAAATTAATTCAAAATTATAATAACTGTATATAATTTAACTATTATTTAAAAAGGTTATCGAGTGTATTTTTTAGATTTAAATGAAAGTTGTTTCTAAAAGCATGTTCAACAATATAATTAATCATACCAAATTTATAAAGATATATATATATTTAATTAAGCAAAGAAAACTTAAATTCATATTGCAATAGTAAGCAAGTGAATGGCCCCTAATAAATTTTTATTCAAATTTGTTAATTTCTAAAATTATAATCTGGATTAAAATTAGCTTTAAATTGGAAATTTTAAAAATAATAATACAATAATAAAAAGTAATAAGTGAAAAAATAATAATTCTGTACAATAAAAGTTTTAAAAAATTATGCAATTAGTGAACGGTCCCTCAGGTAAAAATCTTATAAGCTTTGTGATTCTCGACTGCTTTGGGAATCCTCATAAAATACATAATTGGTGAATGATCCCCAAGTTCAAGGTACTGATCTATAAATAGAATAGTGAAATAAAGGCATTTTCTTGCCAGTGACGAACATGGTAGCACTTTACCAGCAATGAAATTATCAAGAGAAATAAAATTTTCTTATCATATGATATCGGTCCCCATGATCAGTAAAAATTCAAGAAATTTTTAAGTTTGATTTCAAAGTGCGGTAAATGAAACCTGAAATTAAAAATCTCCCGCAAAATGCAGCAGATGCACACGAGAGTGCAAGAATCCTTCGCACCAAATCATGCTCAGTGTAAGCACATGGGACCCACAAGTATTTCATCTAACATGTAAAATGATTGGTGCTCTTTACGCTGCTGACTGACAGTAAGCCAAAATAGATTGTGGTTGAATGAATTGTGAAAATGTTGAAAGGAACAATGTGAAAACCATGCTTTTTAGTTAATTCATGACAAAAATTGGCATGGTAAAGAAAAATATCTCGTTATCTAAAGAGGAAATTAAGTACTTTTTAAAAACAACCAATAAAAAAAGCACCTTTTAAGGACTTTTGAAAAACTTAAGTCGAAAATAAACTCTTTTTTTAAAAACGCAATGCACCCTGTTTATAAATAATTTTACATTTTATAACAATTGAATATTTTTTACTTTCACAAAACATAGCAAATCACACATTTCTATCTCCTTCTGTATAGAGAAGGTCCACTGAAACTCTAAATCTATTTCTAGATTATTGATATTCCACAAATGCTTGGTTTAGGCAAAATATTTTACAAATATATTGTTTTTCCAGTAAATGTTTAGGTCATTAAAATTTTAAATAATTGATCACCTATTTTAAATTTAATTAGCCTAATGAATATGCTTTCATTTAAAATGAGATTCACATTTTAGTCACTTATCTATTCAGTTATTTTGGACAGTGTAAAATATTTAAAATCATTATAACTGGAAAAAGAAATTATTTCAGTTAACAAAATTAAATTAGTACAATTCTTATTATATTGCCCTCAACTAATCAAGGTATTATTTTATTGCTTTTAAAAATAATTTCTTTCACTTAATGTGATCGAATAATAATTCAAATTTATCTAATTTTTTTAATAAATTAGAGTTCTATTTTATTAAAGCTAAGCATCATTTTTACAGTATTCTGACCGACTGTTTAAGCCGTGCGTTCAACTCTATAAAACAATTCTCTAAGTGATTTAAGAGATCTGTTTACTCATTTTGAGTTTTGATATTAAGATCTTTTTATGATTTATTAGTGTTTTAATTACATTTAATGATTAATTTTTGTGAAATATGTATGTATATTTTTGATGCAATATGAAGTTTTGTTGTTTTAAATCTTTTATTGAAGTTGAGATGTTTATAGTTAGAATAGTGTCTGTTTGTCTAATGGAACTTTTTTTTATGTAACTTATCATTGTCCATTTTCATTATTTGTACTATAATTTATTTGTGCTACAGTGCCTCAAAAAAATCTTTTCTCTGATTATTGTATGTTGCTGGCGCTAAGACATTTGAAAATGCTTTAAAATCAGGATAAACTGTAAAATGTTAAAACTCTACTAACTTTTTACTAAAAAAATAATTTAATTCAGTATAATTAATAAATAATAAGCTAAAACTATTTTATTTAGGAAATTCAAAAGTCATCATCACCATTGGCCGGTAACAGAAACCCTAGACATTGTTTTTCATCTTAATTTTCTTTTTCAAAAGCGAATGGAGAAAGTTGCTGCTCTTTCTAAACTTGTTTCAAATATTAATGTATAATTTCTAAGGGCCTTAAATTTGCAAATTTTACTACATGGATGTTAGTTTAAGCTGAACTTTTACAACAATAATCTTTATAATTATTTGTTAATTAATAATGATTATGATAATAATTTGCTTTTTTTAGTAGCATTTAATGAAAGCAGTTTTTCCAACAATTCCTTGAGAATTTAGACTTGATTTTTTTAATCTTTGTGGTAAAAGTTTGATAATTTGTTTGCTGAACTTTTTGACAAAACAGTAATTGAATATAGAGTATTATAAATCAATTTAAAATTTTCTTTTGTACTATAATGATTAATGATTAACAAAACTCTAGAGGAAAAAACATGAAAAAGAGTTTTTTCTTTAATTCATTTAATTTTAGCTGTGTACTGATTATTTCCTGAAATCAAGTGTACTTTAAGTTTTTTAGAACAATAATGCTAATTATGAGCATGTATATTAAGTTTTATAATAAATCATTCTTAATTTTTATCATTCATTTCTTTTTGTGATCGATTTTTAACTGTTTTATGTTTTTTTCTCACTGGTGTGCAATTTGACAGTCACATGCAACACTTTTGATTTTAGAATCAGAGAAATAGTTATTCAGAGAATAATTATATAGTATAAGCATTCAAAATGACCTATGAATAATAACTAAATACCATTCATTATTTTCTAAAGCCTAGCCTTCAGTCTATTCTCTAAAAACCAGTAGTAAGCTGCAAGATTAATTATGACTACACCTGATGATTAAAATAAAGAGATCCTTTGAATAATACCAAGGTAAAATTTTTTTGAAGAGTTTATTTAAATATTTTTCAAACATGACTGCATGTAAGATATCAGCCAGAATTTTATTTTAAAAGAGTTTTAAGTATATCTGTAGCTATACTATTGATGAATTATGAGAAATAAAGCATAGTTAACTACTACTGTAGAATAAACAGTACTGTAGAATTAAGGTTTTTGCAAGCATCATTATTTATGGATGTACAACTTTTTATTAATAGGAAAAAGTTTAAACTTTAATTTTAACTTTTATTAAGCTTTAATAACTTATTTTATTCAAAAAGCTATATTTTAATATAGTGTAACACCTTATCTGAACTCGATAACTGCCTGGATTCGGTGAGGATGTTGGTTTGTCCAAAAGGTTTTGCACACTTTTCATGCACAGTTTTAAACCACCGAATTTCAGAAATTTACTCTCAGTTAACACATGCCACACAGATTTTCTATGGAATTAAAATAAATAGTCAATAATTTAATTAAAAAAATCACAAAAAACTATGCAATTTTTTCAGAAAACAAATTCTTGTTAAATCAGGAATGATAGTGAGTTAATAACAAAATCCGGCGATTTGTTTTTTTCCTCACAAGTTTTAACAGCTAACAATCAAATTAAATTTTTTTCTCTCCATCAAACTTGTACATTTTAAGTCTTATAGATTCTGAGCAGCAAAGCAAAATGTAACATAAAGCCAAAAAAAAGTGAGGAAAAATAGCACTTAAAATTATAATAACTTTAGACCAAATTGAAATTCGAATAAAAAATCTATGTTAAGTTCAAAAACAATTGCCGCCCGGCATGCCAAATTTCAACTCAGTAGTTACATTCCTGTGGCCTGTAGAGCGGCACATCTAGAGATAATGTTCAAGCAGAGGTCTGTCCAGACATTTTGTGAAAGGTCCTGTTTTTGTAAAATTGTGAAAAAATTACTCATAATTTGTGAATATAAAATGAGCGTTAAGTCACATTCTTTCAACCAGGGTCCTGTTTTGTGAATTTGTGCAAATAGGGTCTTGTTATTGTGAAAAAACCTTTTCAAGGAGTTTTCAAATTGTAAATTGATACAAGATTATGCTCAATACTGTAAAATTATAATTAAAAAAAATTTAAAATTTCAAAAATAAAGAGCTATTGCTGCTACTAAATTAGAGATGCAACATACAAATATTTGGTATTTAGCAAATACTGCACAACACAGAATATTCATTTCGGGGCGAATAATGGAAACAAAATCACTCACATTTTTAATAGTTTCAATTGACATATTTTAAATAACACAACTTAGTAATGTATCACTTAGTAATGTGTTACACATTAAGTAAACTTAAACAATTCTTAAATTTATAATAGTTTTTTTTAAAAATTGATATAAGTTAATTTTTATTTACATAATATTTTATCAATAAATTTTATGAATAATATATTGCTCAATTATTTATTTAGAAAAAAATATCATTTAATATCAATAAGAATGTACACACGATGTTTGTAGAAGTAGAAATATTTTCTTAAAATACTATATTTGGAGTTTATAAATGAAATGAGATCAAACTTAGCCTTAGAATTAAAGCAGAAAAACATGATTAACAAAGTATTGGAGTAATATACGTCGAGTTCCAGTAGATTAAAAAATATCTATTAATAGCTGAACACTCAGCATCAGTCAATTTTTCCCGCCCAATTACAAAAATATGCAAATGTCTTTAGAGTGTCTCTTGTGAAAGGTCCGTTTTTATGAAAAGATATTTTGTGAAGGGTCATTTAACAGACCTAAATTTCTTCTAAACAGACCCCTGGTTCAAGAAAGAAATTTTACATCAAAATTAAAAATTTCACATTTCAATGATGTTTATTTAATAACAATACAATAAAAAAATAACAATAGAAAAATAAAGTACAGTACTTTTGGCACACAGTATCAAGTAGAGTAATTGCACAGAATTGAAATATATTGTTAATTCTCGCCTACCATTGTTCAAAAAATGACTGAAGTTTTATACACCACTGCTTTTCAGCTTCAATTCGTTGATCTATGGTTTTAAATGTCCTTTGAATAGTTGCCTGCATCTTCAAAAACTTCATTTTCATTAAATATCTGAAAGAAAATAATAAATATCATGTGTTGGTCAAATGAAATTGAGTTATGACAATTTCTTTTTAATCAGTTGTTGATTCTAAAGTTTTAATCAATACTAAAAAGATAACTATTAGTTCACTTTCTCCCTATATCTTGTTCAAATTTTCAATGGTTAAATAAAATACTTTTTATTCATCCTAGTGGATGACACTTGATGTAAACACAGTTTTTTTCAAATTTTAATTTTATAAAGGAGAAAATTTTTTAATTAATTAATAAAAAGTAACTAAAATATGAAATTTTCTTTGTTGGCCTAAGTAGGAATTGACTTGATTAGGAATTTTTTTTGTATTACTTGTTTTAGTGAAACCTATTCTTTATAGATATATTGATTTTTATATTGTTTAAATGATATTTTTGGAATAAATGTGTAATTTTCACTACTAAAATTTTTTCATATTTATTATAAAATCATTTATTTTCAAGTCCGTTACTTCTTTAATATTTTTCACACCATTTTTAGTCATTAATAAATATTTTATGTTTGAATTTGTCATTTGCCCATATCTATTGTTCACGTAGCACAGCCCTGTGCAAAACGATCAATCGAGGTTATGCCGTATTTGCGTCGAAAAAATATTCCAAATAAAATAAAGTTCTAGCATTTAAAATAATTTTTAAATACAAAAATAAACAAATATTCATAAAAATGTGTCATGAGGTCAATTAAGTATGCTTGCATTCAAAAATTTACTAAGTTTGTACAAAGAAATTTTAGTTTCAAAAATAAATTATGCTTAATTTAAGAAAAAATTAGAAAATATTTTATGTAAAAAAATATTTTTTAGAAAATAAAATTTTGCAAATGTTACCCAAACTTTTCATTTCCCAGATCTTTTAAGCCCCAATGAAATGTACTTCAATGAGCCTGTGTAAACCTGAACTTTTCATATAAACAATTTACTCAATGCAATGAGTAATACAGAATTATTTTAAACACAATGTTAAAATTTAATCAGATAGATTAATAATTATTTTCTTAAAAAAAGAGAGAAAAGACATCACTCTAAATAACTTCTGTTCTAATGATGGGATTTTCAGTATTAAAACAATCTTAGTGGTTCATTGAATTAATCTCAAATATGTTATTTAATCTGTACTAACTATTAATTTAGCATAGCTGCCAACATAGATTGAAAAAAATCCAGTAGATTTTACGAAATAATATAAGTTTCAAGATAATTCTTGCATAATGTACTAAATATTTTACACATAGGGATTTTTATAGACATCAAAATAGAAAAACTGAAATATTTTCCATTTATGATTGGCATTAAAAAGTTGGGAATTATGTTTACTCATAATTTTGAACAGTAATAGGCATTTAATTCATAAAAAATAATTAAAATTTTTTATTAGTTTAGAAAGGGTGTTCTGAATAAAAATAAGCGGAACAATTTAGAACAAAAAAGTTTTCAACTGATTCATTATATATTAGTAATAAATAAAATGTTTAAATATTCAAGCAAGCAATAATCTGTGCAAAAATTCTACTTCAATAGGGAGTTTTTTAGGAAACTTACTCAATTTTAGGGAATATTCTAAAATGTACAAAAGTCAGGAGAATGTTTATTAAATCAGTACACCAGGAGAAACTGTCAAAATAAAGTAGAGTTAGCAGCTATGCTTTAGTAAAAAAATCAGATAACAAACTTTCTCTGAATAATGTCTTTTTTTGACAGATTTGGACTTAGAGCATCTAAGGGCAGCTGAAATCTAAAAATATAGTTTTATTAATTTCAGGACAATGGTCTGAAGTTTGGACTTCTTCATGTTTATATTACTTTTTGTGTTTTTAGTTACAGATCTAAAACTGACAATAAAAAAAAACACTTGTACTTACAAATGAAACTTGTTTCTTAAAGAATAGTTTGAATAAAAGAATAATTTTTAATAATTATTATTTTATTCAAATAATGGTTGACAAAAATTTTAAGTTGTAAGGTATAAAATTTTTTTTACATAATTTTAAACTATTTGAAGTTAAATGCAGAAATACAAAATTTAAGAGATATTGGCTAAATAGATTAATTTTTGTCTTAAGAACTATTCTACCAATTTTGAAATCATTTGCAACTTATATATATAGCTGCCAACATGGATAGGAAAAAAATCCAAATAATATAAATTTCATGATGATTGTTGCGTAATGTACTAAATATTTTACACATTGGGAATTTTAGGAATTTTTATAGTCGTCAAAATAGAAAGACCGCAATATCTTCCAGTTATGATTGACATTAAACATGCTTGAAATGCTAAATATCATGTTTACTCAACATTTCGAATATTAATAGGCATTTAATTCAACAAAGACAGTTTAAAAATTGTTTTAATTAATTTAAGAAGAGAGATCTGAATGAAAATAAATTGAACATTTTAGAACAAAAAAAAGTTTTGAACCAATTTCTTTAAATGAGGTTAACTTCTTTATTTATTAGTAATACTTATTTAAATATTGAAGCAATCATCTGTACAAAAATTCTATTTCAATAGGGATTTTCTTAAAGGAAACTTATTAAATTTTAGGGAATTTTCTAAAATAAACAAAAACTAGAAGAATTTTTATTAAACCTGTAGACCAGGAAAAACTGACAAAATCCAGTAGTGTACTGGAAAAACCAGTAGAGTTGGCAGCTATGTATAATTAATTGAGCATTTCAAAAATGTAAAGTACTAAAAAAATATACCACAATAAAAGGCAGTCGAGTGCCAAAGTAATTGAAAAAGAATCAGGTATATTTTGAAAAATAATAAACATAATTGAAAAAATATAAGAATAAGGTACATTTTGTAATTTAATTTTTAAAAAAAATATATCTCTGAAGGAAATAATAAAGAGATTTTATCACTTGTACAACTTACTGTCTCCACGCTCGCTGAATGATAACAGTTGATTTCTCAATAGACATTCCTTTGCTAGAATTGTTTTCTATTATGCTGGATGCAAACCCAGGATTTCTTACATCTTGAATTTCACTATTATTCTCATGCAGTCCTTTCAAACATTTTATGTCCTTGTTTCCATCTTCACTCTTCAGAAAAGAATATTTTCCTGAAATTTCTTTGCTTTCAGAACCAATCAGTCTGTTGTAAAAGAAGGGAAAAGAAAAAGCTGAGTAAATAGATGAACTACATCAATGACAGGCACTCACAGATGATATTATAAGGCATGGTTGCCACTCCACAGGGAAATAAGGGAATTTAAAAATCCTCTAAAATAACAGGGAATTTAAATTTTTTTCTTTAAAAACTGGGAAAATACAGGGAATTTGTTTCTTATTTTCGTCTTTTTAAAAAACGGTGACCACTCCATGTGTAATCTACGGGATATTGAAGGATGAAATATCAAATATACTAAACTATTTCATTTACTATAGCATTATTTAAGTAATATAAGCTGTTCCTTTTTTTTCCCTCTAAGTTGTTCTAGCGAGTAAAACTAGTATAGTTAGAGCCCAATATATCTCACACAAGAGCACACTAATTCTTGTTACCTCTCAACATATGTACAGGAAAAACGCAGGGATTTTTTTTCCTTCCAGATTTGAGTGGCAACCCTGAAAGGGTTGGAAAGCATGTTTAACTGCTTCCAATTACAGGATTGCCACTCCACAGGGAGAACTCGGAAAATACAGGGTAATTAAAAATCACCTAAATAACAGGGAAAATGCACGGAATTTTGATTTTTTTTAAACTGGGAAAATACAGAGAATTTTGTTTCCTTTTTTCGTCTTTTATGAAATGGTGACCACTCAAAACATAATCTATGGGATATTTCAGCTATACTAAACTATTTCATTTACTATAGCATTATTTAAGTATGTTCAGCTGTTCTTTTTTTTCTTCTCTAAGTTGTTGAAACTAACAAATATAGTTAGCCTAATATAGCTAACACAAGAGAACAGTAGTTGTTGTATTCCCTCTTAATATATTATTTATAATATGTACAGGGAAAGCACATCAAATTTTTTTTCCAGATTTGAGTGGCAACCCTGCATTACTCTAGAACTTTATTTTGAAATGCAATTTTAAATATATTTAGTTGAAATTACTAAGAGTATAACTTAATAAACAGTAAAACTTAAACTACTAATAAAACTAGACCTCAATGACTAACAGATAAAAACATTTATTTTGCTTGAATTGTATTTCTTTTATGTAGCCATCCTGACGAAAAAGAAATTTGCTATGTTTTGAGTAGTTTAGAATAAGCATTCATTTTCTAGTTTAAATAATGATTTTGTTTGCCCTGGCACAATGTGAAGCTCATTTTGCTTAATTTCATTGAAGCGCATTTACCCTTTAAAATATAAGTTGTATTTTTCAATTGAATTGGCTATAGTTTAAAGATGGGAAGAAATTAAATTGGCATTGGTGGCATCTTCATTTTTTTTATATCTTGTGAATGGGACCAAAAAGAACTTTTCATCCAAACAACTCTTAAAAATTTCAGTTAACTTTTCACTTGGGTCAAAGTTTTAATCTTTATCTTCTTTTTGTCACCTATATCTATACAATTTATTTAAAATTTAGAAATGTCTAGAGTAAAAAAAAAAATCAAAATTACAAAATTCAGATATTAATGTTGTTGGAATTATAACTTAAACGATTGTGCAAACATTCTAAGCTGCTAAATTCTTAATAAGGAGACACAAAAATTTTAAGTAAATTTCCAATGAAAAATTTTAAAAAATAAATAAACTAATTTTTTAGCTATTCAATTTTATTTTACTAAGTTAATATTTTGATTTTCTAAATCAAACTATGGCAAGAACACAAAACAGAATGCGTTCATAACTATTTGAACACTTGTAAGATAATAATGTTTTAATGGAATTCAAAAACACATAAAATCTAATGTAATTAATAAAAATTTTAACATATTTTCATCAATGTTAAAACATATTTTCACATAACATAACATCAAAAATTTTAACATATTTTCATTTTAACATATTTCAACATATGCTTGCAAAACCTGGACCATATCTTGTAAGGATGAGGTTATGTTGGGTATCTTTGAGAAAAAGGTCTTGAGAAGCATTTTTAAAGTAATTTAAACAAATGGTGTGTGACTTAGAAGAACAAATCTAGAGCTTTATATAATGAACCTGACATTATTAACTTTATTAAAGGACAAAGAATAAAATGAGCAGGCCACTTTATCAGAATGGACGAAGACCACGCCTGAGTTATCAATGCCAGACCAGTTGGCACACGAAAAAGGGGCAGGCCGAATTTGAGATGGATAGATGGCTTAGAAAAAAACCTTTTAGTCTTAAAAACTGGAAAACACTAGCAGTAAAAAGGTTAGCCTGGAAAAACTTCTTGAGAAGGTGGAGGCCCACCCTGGGCAATCGAGCCATTGATGATGACGAAGATTATTTTAACTTTACCCAATAATATTAATAACAATCATAAATTTGCTCTCAAGTTCTAAAATTTAGTATTCCTACATTAACTAACATATTCTTGCTGTCAAATAATAATGTATTTTTATTATTGTTTGAAATCTGACAAAAAAGAAAACTAAATATGTAACAACATAACCTAATGAATCAAACACATAATTTTTTTTTAAAAATAAAACAAACCCATGCCTATAGGTAATTTTTGGTGGAGACAGTCATCACAAAGCAACAGATTTGGACAAATAGATGAAAAACTATTTCATTTCCTTAAATAAACTATCCATATTTCATGAAAATAAAACTACATTTTCTGCAAATCAAATTTTTTTTTACTAGCTGCACTTTCTTAGAAGAAAAATAGAAGGACAGTAATTACAGTCAATAAAGTCACCCACAGATTTTTTAAGGTGAAATTAAGATTATTGACTCTAAAAGAAATAGTACTGCAATTAAACTTCACTGTCCTGTAAAGAAGAACGTTGTTAGTAGAAGTTGTATTTATCTAATGATTAAACTAAAGCGCTCTATAGTTTTTTTAGCACTTTTTATACTTGGGACAGTAATTACACAAAAGTGGGAACACATACAAAAAGATGTGCAAAACAAAATATACTAAGAATATGTATGCATTTATCTCTGTGCACATTTTTCTCTGTAACAATTAAAAAATTCAGAAATCAGAGGTAATTGTAAGCCCAACTCAAAAATTCTGAAAATTTCATGAGTAACATAATTAATTACACATTTTGAAATATTAATGTCCTTATAAATTTAAATCATTGATGTTTTCAAAACCATGAAATTCTAAATAAATTATATGCAGCATAATTTAAATGAGTAGTACTAGTAGTTCATTTACGTCGTACTAGAGCTGCACAATGGGCTATTGGCGACGGTCTGGGAAACATCCTTGAGGATGATCCGAAGACATGTCATCACAATTTTGATCCTTTGCAGAGGGGATGGCACCCCCGCTTCGGTAGCCCGACAACCTGCACGCGAAGTCGAGCACTTTAAGGTTGAACAGTTTAACGAGGACCAATACCGCACACCCTTGGTCCCTACGCAGACTGATCCAAGTGGTCACCCACCCGCACACTGACCACAGCCATATATATTAATTTAATACTAGCATATTCTTGCTTTGGATAATATAATTTAAATGAATAATTATGTATAAGTTTACTTTTATGTCTAATCAAATTTATTATTCTACCAGAAAAAATATTTATAAATGAAAGAGATGCCAAATATAAATACTAGTTCTAATATTTTTAAATAAAATATATAAGAATTTTCATACATAAATGTGATTGATGATTTTTTGAAACTTCTGGACCTTGAATTTCCGGAAACTTCCGGATAAAGATTTTTTCCGCAGCACTATCATCTCTGAGCAATGGGTGGTAAGGACAAGGGATAATAATGAAATTACACTTACATTTCATTAAAAAAAAATATACAAGTACAAAACATGTCTAATGCATATTATTTTTTATTCTTTGTAGTATTAAGCAAAAAATATAATTAAATAATAAAAATGAATGTTTTAATGAGAAATATTATTTAAGGGTGCAAAAGTTAACGAATTGAGAAAATAGTTCAGTTATACATATAGAAATTTTCACACTTAATATTTAATTTTTTTATAAGAGTTGGTGAAGGAAAAAATTTGAAAATATTTAAGTAAGATTTTAGTTTAATCATTTAAATGTTCATAAAATTGTTAAAAACACCAAAAATTAATAGGCTTTAACAAATTCCAAATAAAATGTTTTTCTTTCCATTTATTGCAATAAAAAAGATAAATATGAAATTATATTTGAAAAAAGTCTTTTCCAAATGCAATGCAATTTGTTAATTTTAGCAAAAATCTACTTACTTTGTATGAAGATTCTGATAGATTTGTTTTATAAAGTGATGATTTCGAAACCATTGCTGAAAATTAAATATTTTGAAATCAGTAGAATTAATAAATAAAAATGTAACTTGAAGACAGATATTGCAAGAAACAGACACTTTTGACATGTTTTGCAAATTTAAATATAGGGCTTAGTAGAAAAATAGTAAAATTACTAACAAGTTTGTAGAAAAATTATTATTATAGTACAGGAGTAAATTGTAAATGCATGGAGCTGCGGAGTCTTAGGGGATAGAGCATTTGCCTTCCAAAGAGGTGACCCAGGTTTGAATCCCAGCAGTGGCTGGTTGATATGAATTCTGCTCCCATACCACAGTCTTGATGTAAAATATCATCAGTGGAAGACGAATCATGGGTTAGAATCCTTTTGCCATCAGACTAACCATAGGAGGGTTTTTCTCTCCATTAATGCAAATGCAGGATGTTAGTCTCATCAAAGAGTCCTCCGTAAATGCCAGTTTGTCTCGAGGCTCGATCCAAGAGTTCCTTGTTCTTCTGCATTGGATTCAAAATTAGAAGACTATAGAGTTAAACATTGAAAGTTGTAAACTCAGACTTGGGTTGGCTGTTGAATGCCGGTAATAAAATAAGAAATAACATAACTATGTAGGAAGAACCATGTTATAGTACAGGAGTACACTCTGGGTGCATGGTACAATAAAACAATGTAGAAAGAACAATGTTGATGAACATAGCAATTTATTATTATAATCAAGGAGTAAAAATTATTATTGTATAAACTATACAATACATTGAAGAATTGCACCATGCATACACCAAAGTATATTGTGTATGCATGGTACAATAAAGCAATGTAGGAAGGACCAATTAAGTACTCAATGAGTATTTTTTTAAGGATTAAATAATTATGTACTCACTTGAATTGTTTGAGCAGCAATATTTTTAATTTCTTCAGCATGAAGTGCACCATACATTATTAATACTTCAACAATTTTATAATGATTCTTCGTAACTGCTAAATCAAGTGCAGTCATCCTAAAATAAGCACAAAATCAAGTGTAAGTAATAAAAGTCTAAAAAAAATCTTTTCGTTGAGCTATTGAATGGATATGCAGCAATTAATGGTTGTTTTAAACTTCACAGGTATTTAAGTTTAAATTCATGAAATCAATAATTGAATTAGAGCGCATCAAAACTATTTAAAACGTTTGTTCATTAACAATAGAATATTAACTTCAGTTGTTAATTTAGATAAGATTTTATTCAGTAAGAATTTGTAAATATTTTAAGCAGTTAGGAAACCAGAGTAGCTAGAATTAAACCCTTCAAAAGGCAGGGAAAAAATTGAAACACATCTTTGTTTGCTTAATAATTTAATTTTTGGAATAATCAATATTTTCTGTCCAAAAACTTTTTTGCCAAGATTTAATAATAAAGTGAATTATACTGATATAGAAAAGTCTTTTGTTAATTTTTTATAATATAATGAAAGCAAAACAATTTTGTAATTTTCTTTAAAGAAAAAAAAGAGAGAAAGAGAGAGGAAAATTTTCAAAGCATATTTACTGATTGCATAGTAATTAAATATTATCTATTCATTTTAACAGTTTCTAAAATGCTTTGAACGTAATTTACAATAATAGATATAAATCATTCAAAAGGAGAGTAGGATATACTTTATGATACATAGACTGAAGCAAAAAAATATAGATTAAGTACGAATAAAGTACAGCAATGGACATACTATGGTTCCCGGTCTCCAAACAAGAACCTTTTCCAGTGTCTAAATAATGGATTAATCAAATAATGTCTTTTTTGATTAAAATATAAGTTGTGTTAAACTAAAGGTGCATAGATTCAATAATGTATGATTTCTCTTTGTAAACATCTAAAAATGTCCAAATTAGTTTTAAATTTAAAAAAAAAAAAATANCATTGTATTTACATCTGTCTCATAATCACACAGCAACTTTACAATTTCCCAATGATTAGCCAAATATATATATATATATATATATACTCTTCCAGCATGCATGCTCAGCAATTTTACATGAGTGACCATGTGTCGTATTTCTTACAACAGCTGTTATTTTACCATTATTGGCACTAAAAATGACAAAAATACATGAATATTGATAATAAATTTGTCAAGAAATAAAAAAATTAAGCTTATTGTTGCAAAATACATTCTTAACCTTACAAATACATTCTACATTCAAATGAAAGTAAATTATTTTTAAATGCCTATATTAGTTAGGTAGAAAAGCAATGTTCTATTTTATTATAGATAAATTAAAATCTGTTAATTGATAACTATATTTTAAAATTCAAGACAGTTGAATACTAATCGAAGGAAATCTTGATAGGAAAATATGTGAATTTACAACTGAATTTGTAACTTACAACTGAATAACAACTGAATTTGTAACTTACATCTACAAAAAACTTTACTTCGTTGAAAGTCAAGAAAAATAAATAAATAGTTACAAAAGCTAGCTTTAAACTAACTCAAATTTTAATATTTTTATTTATTCAATCTATCAATTTATTATTACTATCGATCTCAAATCCAAAATGTTTCCTTCTCTTCCTTTGATTCATCAGACAATTCGCAAAGAATGCGGGGGAAATCAGTTGATTGTACATATTGTTTAGCAATCAAAACCTATACAAAAATTATAGATCCGAATTTATACAAATTAAAATAATACACACCGACTATTAACACAAAATTACAAAACATTTGAGAAAGAAATATTTTTCAAATTTTCACTGACTACCTGCGTGCAGTAAATTTTACAAACTAGCAATCAAGTAACACAAAACTTTGACTAAAAATAAAAATTATCATGCGACTTTCTGTTGGTACATTCCATGACGTGGGAAAGGGTTGAAAGTCAGAATAGAAAAAACCATCAAACATCACAGCTGTGATCTGCTAAACAAAATTCATCAAAAAACCGAATTTGTCTTAAAATTGGGCAGATGTGCGTGCTGGAAGGATATACATACATACATAAATCTAGCATATATAAAATATGTAGCAAAATTTAGAACTTAAAAATTAATTAACTAAAAATTATTAACACAATAATGCTTTATGGGGTCAAAAGTACAATATGTAACAATTTATAAAAATAATTGCAAGTTTTTTTCCTAACTTTTAACAAAATAATATCAATATTTTTAAGAAAATACACATTGGTAAAAATTTTCAATGCTAGTAAAATAAAGTTTTAATTTAATAAGATTAAGTAACAAACACACACATAAAACTGTTAATATAAATATTAAAAACTTAGATACCAAAACCGACAATGGAAACCTTAGTTTAGTTGATACAATGCATAACTGGACAAAAATTAATTTATGAATGACTCCCTCCCTCACCCAAAAAGCTACATTAAAAAAATTAGCAGCTTCTGGTTACTAATCTATCTCTGGATTTAAAGTTAATTAGGAATAGTTTTTATAAATTTTGAAAAGTGCATGATAGAAAATTTTTAGCAGCATGATGATTTTTCAACATCCTAAGCAGCAAAACAACAAAAAATTGGAAATTTTTTGTAGTTGAAATTAATATTTTTTAACTGGATTTCTCACTTTTTTTTCCATTTTAAGGATTTGCCTGCATTAAAAAGGCAAACAAAAACACAAAAAAAAACAAAAACAAAATTAAAATAGTCTAACTTTATGAAAATCCTTAAAATCAAACAGTAAATTAAAATCAAAGGATCAATTAAAACAAGAAAATAAACTATTTTACCAATCATTTTTCTTAATCATTGCATTTACATCTGTCTCATAATCACATAGCAACTTTACAATTTCCCAATGATTAGCCAATACTGCCCAATGCAGAGGTAATTTTCCCTTGAAAAATTTAATATGTCCAATAAAAATAATCAACAACAAATCATACAATAATAATAATAATGAAATTTTATATGGATGAGAAACATGCAAAACATGAAATAATTTATGAATCAATTCATAAATTGGGTGTAAAATGCAAAAAAATAAAAATAAAAAACTGCTGTTTTATTGCTATAAAATAAACAGGGATGAGTTTGGTAAAAATGCTGAAAATAGAAGTTCAAAAATGCTAAGTGCAAAACACATTTAGGTTATTGAAAAAATACAAGAAATTTTAGGGAGGAAAAAGTGCACACGTGAAGTATATATGCATATAATTATTATTATCAACATTTTAATAAAAAATATCGATGTGCAGAATTTATTTTTTAAACTATGGGAATACAAACCTTGATACATGATTTTAAAATTGCCTAAATATGAATCTGAATGTAATATTTCTTAACCACACAGGTATGAATTGCGATTCATAATTTTAAATCGTGTAAATAAGAATTTCAAAGTAACGTTTCAGATTTACTTAAATGCAATTTTAAATCACGTTTTCATAGGTAAGAAAAATTACCACAAATAAATCCCTTTTTCAAAAACTTGAAAAAGCGGAACTTTATTATAAAAAAAATTAAAGATATTCTTTATTAAATTAAAATACAAGCAGAATTCCACCAAAAAGCAGGAAAAAGCTCTCATCCCTGAAAGTTCTATATAATGCAAACCTTCAAACATTAGTCTTTGTATTATGTAGAATTGTCAGTAATATTGATAATTTCGCATATCATTAAACTTAACTACTAAATAGGGCGATATACATCTTGATATTCAATTCAATTAATTTTAAAATGCAAATATTTTGTAACACAAAAATACGCATTTAAGTATTAATTCATAAAAAAAGATTAAGATTATCAGAAGAATTAGAAATAAAATCCAACAAATTTATCAGTTTAAATTTGCTTTAATTAAGTTAATGTGGTTCACCGAGAATTGCATTTTATAGAATTAAATAGTATAAATCTTCTACTGTATCATTAACAGATCAACAATTCAGTAAATATAGCATTTTTGAAACAGGTTCTAGTTGGTAAAAAAAAATTTAATAAAAAGGATTAAATTATTATATAAAAACAAAGCTAATAATATGAATAAGCAAGTCTTAGATAGCAAAGCTGACCATTGAAGCCTCAGTTTAATTTACAAACAAAAACTCAAATAAAAAAAACGAATTAAATACATTAAAAACATGACTATCTAAAAGGCACAGATTTTCAGCAAATTCCAAATATTCAAGCATCAAAAACCTTGTTTTTCGGTATAACCATTTTTCTTTTAAAAAGAACCCTAACTTAAAAAAATTTAAGGTTTCATGAAATCCACATTTAAAAATAAAGTTAAATGAAAATTATTAACATAAGAAAGATTGATAACGAATTACAAAGATTTTGCAAAACAGATAAAATTATCAAACTGTCAAAATAGAAAATAAATAATCTGCAGGAATCATGACTAAAGTAGATTAAATAAGTGAGTAAAAGTATTAGGGATGAAATAATTTTTATATCAAAAGAATCTACCAACTTCCTTTCCTTCAAAAAGTTCTAAATTTTTTAAGATTTTATTTGATGAATTTTGGAAAACTTTTCATTACACGAGCAGTTAATTGAATTCCAGATAGTCAGAGCTTTTCATAAAAGTCTTTTAAAGATGTAGTCATTCTAGTAAAAACACAATGTAAGAGAGTAGCAGAATTATTGTTACCTTATTATCAACAATGTTAGGATCTGCATTAGATTCAAGAAGCACCGATACACAATTCAAATGACCACTTCTCATACAAGCATAATGTAGAGGTGTACGTCTATGAGAAGAGAAAAAAAAGAATTAAAAAATCAAAAGACAGAAAAAGACATCATTCCAAAGAAGTAGGGATTGTCTGCACGTGTAGAAAACAATATGTAAAGTACATACACAGACATGTGACCCAATTATTATCTATTCTAATTCAATATGTAAAGCTATAAAATAAAATTAATTAAAATGATGGAAAATTTTTTTGGGTAAAATAAACAAGCAAAATCATCATTGCTGGATGTAATTGAGAGTCATTTTTTAGCACTTAAATAGCTGATCCTCTTTGCTTTAATGATTATCATTTGTATGTATGATGTTCAGTATTTTTTTTAATCCTAATTGGGTCACATATCTGTTCATCTCCATTTTACTGAAACAAGCATATTCATTTACATTAACTTCATAGATGTCTTTTTCATTTATTTTAAAATTATGAGTGCTCTATTCTAATACATAGTTGGATGTAAATATATAGACTCATTTCTGTAAAATGAGGAAAATGAAATGGGTAAAGATATGTGACTCAATTAGGATAAAAAAATACTGAAATAAGATGATGAAAACATTTAACTATGTATTTCAATTAAAAGGGATAGACTAAAACAAAAACTGAACAAGTAAAAAAAAAGTTATTATGAAACTAATATATTTAATATCAACGACTGAAACAGCAAGAAAAAAAATCATGAAACCAATTTGAAAGAAACTGAGTTACTACAAATTAAGATGATAAAAATTTAAGTCCTGTTTAAATCATTATCATTTATTATTTTAAATAAAATAAATAAAATTAAAAAATCATATTCTGGCATGATTTCGCATGGAGCACTACTATTTTGAAATTTAAAAAAAAAANAAAAAAAAAAAAAAAAAAAAAAAAAAAAAAAAAAAAAAAAAAAAAACACGAAGTTAATGTAAATACATAGAAAATCATTTCTGTTAAATGATGAAAATGAAATGGATGGACAGACATGTGACCTGCTTAGGATTAAAAAAAAACAAAACACTTGAATAACATGATGTGGCAAAAAACAGGCAAATACCTATACTAAAAACAAATACCAACATCGGTATTTAGGAGATATGATTTTACTTGCTTATATTACTGAAAAAGTTCTCCGCCTTTCAATTTTTTTATTTTATTTCATTGCTTTCCACGTTACTATACATTACTAGACAATTTAACAGACCAAATTAAGCTAATTTAGAAAAAAATAAGCTCACATTTCGCTTTTTTAATCAGTTAAACAATGTAAAAATATGGGTATCAAATTAAGATAGAAAAATTTTAGTTATATAAAATTTAGAGAAAAAAAATGAACTATTCTAAAGAAGATGAAAATATCAATAAAACCTATAAATAAGGATTCATTTAAAACAAATATAAGCTATTATACAACTTTAGGCCTATAGTCAAAATTATAGAAATATAACCTAATAACAAGTATATATTTAACAAGTAGTTAAAAAAAAATTTATTTAACATTTTTTCCAATAATGATTATTTTTATTTATTTACTTAAAAATAATAAAAATAAAATTAATATCTTCTGGCATGATTTAGTAGACATAAAATAAATTTTTAAAAACATCTACAAAGTTAATGTAAATACATAAAGATTTATTTCCTTAAAACAAAATCCTTAATTTCCTTAAATGGAAATGAGTAAAAAAATTATTATTATTTTGTGAAAGTAAACAATGTTAGTGAAAAATGACAAATAAGCTAATGTAAATACATTGAGATTCATTTCTATAAAAAGATAAAATTGATTTGTTTTTAAAATTAAACAATGTAAGTGAAAAATGACATTAGAGCTGTAATACACAAATGTTCATTTCTATAAAAAGATTAAATTGAAAGGAGTTTTTTTTCTTCAAATTGAACAATGAAAATTAATATTACTTAGGACTTATGTGTTAGAAAATAATATTAATTAAAAAATATATATATATAATGAGATTTTTACCCAAAAGCATCCTGAATGTTTGCAGGCATTTCTTTATGGAGTAACATTTGACATAAATATGCATGTCCTCCTAAGGCACACCTAAATAAAATAATTTATATTATAAGCAATTATTTATATATGGACATTTTGGTCCCTTCTTGATTTATTCCTGTTATAAATTTGATCAGTCCATTTTAATTTAGACATTCCATCTCATTTCTTACTTTTTTTATTACAGTAGCTATGTTTTAATAGCCTTAAATATAACTTAGCTTTGTTTATTAAACTATTTATTATTTCCAGTGACTGAAAATCAGGAATTTTAAATCATTTAAAATTCTTTAACATAAAACATACCATAATCAGTCAAATGATCGTTTAAGAACTTTTTAATCGAAAATGTGCTTATTGTCTTATCGTTTTTGCACATTTGACTACAGGACTTTTTCTAACAATTATTTACAGTCAATATTCTGTTATTATTATATTTTTGCATTTTGTCTGTTTCAAATAATACTTGTCGTCAACCTATTTCCACCACAACCGGTCATCTGACCGGGAGAATAGCTTATTGCTTTATAAGGTTATCGAATCAGAGATTACAATGTAATGTGCATTCAATGTATTGCACATTTTGATGAGTTGCACATTTCTGCAAAGACTTGCATAGTGAGTTCAATCAGAATAACTGTGAATTCAAATTTCAAGAAAGTACCTAAAATTTCAGATTGGCATTTTTGTGTCAGAAAAAGGGACAAAAGCTAAATGTTTTGGAGAGTAGCTAATATTTTATTTTGATAGCTTTCCTTAATTTCTAACTAACTGTTAGTTTTTACCCAGAAAAATGTCAAAACAATCAAGACAGCAAAAGTTTTTAGAAGAAATAATATTAACTATAAGAATAATTATAAGCATTATAATTCTTACAATTATAGAAATAATAGTAATTAGAAGAAATATGTTTGCAGAAAATGTACAATAGAAACACCCTGTATATGTAAAAAATGTGCTTAGCAATGAATTAAAAATTCTTATTCTTTGTGCTTGTAACACATAGAAATTGGCAATATACAATTTTGTTTAATTATAATGAAGTTTTTTTAGTTTTATTTCCTTCCTAACATCCATATTTGATGCATTCAATCAAGAAACATAAAATCCGGTCATTTGACCGTCTATGGTAGAAATAGGTATGTATTAAGTGCTGGTATGTTTAGTGTTAAGTAGAATAAAGGCAAATTCAATTGCAAAAAAAATAATGCACGATTTTTAAATTCAGAATTATTTAGTTCAGAACAGAAAGTAACACAATATTATTTTGTTGCATAAATGAACAAGTAATGTGAGTCCAAGATTAGTATATAAAATTTTGTTACAGTACTGTCGCCTTAAAAAAATAACAAAGTTTCAATTAGTTAATCTTTCTTCATACCAATATTCAGTTCCAATTTGAAAAATTTAATTAATCCAATATTTTTAAAATCACTGTAAATATGCCACTTAATATATTTTTTAGAAATGTAATTTAGAGGATGATAACTCAGCTCAAAATTAAAAAATTCTACAATATGAGTAATGTATTGATAATAATAGATTATCTTTAAAATCAAATGAAAGAGACAAATCAATAATTGTGCTAAAAATAATTAATATGGGTACGACCCCTTAATTCATCATCAATCTCTAAATTTGATTTATCGCATTTTGTCATTTTTACTAGCAATATTAATTAAAATTGTTGAATCAAAATTACAAAGCTTTTGTTTCCTCAAATCAGTTATTTAAAAGTCATTTTCAAGAATAGAAAACTGGATTTTTTGAATATGCACAAAAATCAGGAAGAAAAAAAAAGCTAAAAACCATGACAAATAAGTACAAAATATTTTTTATATTTAGGATAAAAGGACAACTACAGATTAATATAAAGAATGCCAATAGAAAAATTACCAATGTAACATAGAACAATCATTTACATCTGTAATAGTGGCATCTGCGCCAAGTTGTATCAGAAGTTGAGATGCTTTGGCACGACCAAATTCACAGGCTCTCAGCAATGGCGTCATTCCGCATTTGTCTTTCTTATTGATAGGCACGCCATGCTTTACCAATATCTTAATTGTAGATAGATGACCTTTCAGAGAAGCATAATGAAGAGCTACAAAATAATTATTAAGATAAAATAGTCTATTTAACGGTAATTAGATAAGAGGCTGTTTAAATACTACATAAGTACCAAGCAGGAGAGAGGGAGTTTGCCATTTACTTATTTTTGCTGTCAAGGGAGGAGGGGAGTTAAGACCGATGCATATGATATTAAAATCCCCTTAACACAATACAGAGTTTTGATCTTCCTGAATTAAATGTAATTATCAGGGGCTCATAGAAAAACTCAAAATTATTACATGTTCGGCTGGGCACGGCCGCAGAATATGTTACATTGCGAAAAAGAGACTTAGGAATAATGAAAGGAAACTTTTTATCTAATTAACAAAAACAGTAGCTAGAAAATTTTTGTGATGATAAAAAATGTGTCACTTACAAAACAAAACAAAATACAAAAAGTTTTTTACAAAATTTTTCTCTGTAAAAAGAATCAATATATACATTTTAAAATTTCGTTTTAATATATTAACTTAATGGGGCAGTTTTTTTATTTGTTACTTTTAATTCCTAAATTTTATACAGAGTTCACACACAATTTCAGAAGAAAAAAATTCCCTGACTTTTACAAGTACATCAGGAAAATTTCAATGAAAATCTATACCAAATTTAATCTATACCATGTAGTTTTACGTCAGAAAACTTAATTTTTTTATTTGTGATGACAAATATAAGATTTTGTGAGTAAAAACATATAATACAATGAGAAAGAAGCATGGTAAAATTTCACTACAAAGTGGAATTTTATAAAATAAATGTAATAGATGTTCGAATTATTTAACTCGAATCTCAATAACTGATTACTGTTAACTGACAATTCTAAGACTGGTTGTTTTCCAGGTATTACATAGGAATTTTCCAAGTTTTTTGTAAAAAATTGAAACTTCCCCTGACTATCCCCTGCTTTTTAGAGTTAAAATAAAATTCCCTGACAATTCCAGGTTTTCCCTGTCCATGGGTTTATAAGGAGACCTTGAATTTTAAATAATTGTGTTAAATCAATTAATTCTTTTTCTTCACACAATATACAAACTTTACTTTCTAAATATAATTTGAAAAAAAAATTCTAACATTATAGTATTATAATTATAAATAATTATAAATTTATGATTATAAATTTATAATTATAAATTAACAATAAATGTAGGAGAAATTTCAAACCAAAAAAAAAAAAACTGTTCTAGAGAAATATTATGGGAAATATAAAATAATCTGAAAATTTTCTGCCCTCCTGGTCAGGTCTACAAAATATACCAAAATTAAAAAATTCT